TAAATTGATTTACAAAGAAACCTTTTGATAATGTAGTTGTTACAGTTTTTAACCATACACCTTAAATATTTAATTTCATTTAAATATTTAACAGTTGATTTCTGACATTTCTTTGGATAAGTCTGGTTATCAAACAGATTTTATTCAGTCTCTGTTCCCTGAGCGAGTATTACACTGTTAGCCAACATTATATATTTATAGACCGTCTTTGCATTAATTCTGTTAGAAATATTTGAGCATCAAATAAAACCATTTTGTGTAAAATGTCCTGTAATCTGCCTCCCCCCCTCAGCCTTGCATCATAGCGGACTGTGGTGAACATAAGGACGGGGACAGCTGGGGAGCCGCTCCAGATGACGGAACCGGAGACGCTCTCCCAGACTTCCCTGAGGACTCTGACATCGACTTTAAAGATGTAAGTACCAGCGACGTCTTTGATCTTCAAGGGCACGGGTTCATCCTGGCAGATAGCATCAGAACGCTCCGCCAGGACCGGAAGGCCATTTTTAGAAATGCACTTCTTTTCCACCCTTTGCAGAGTCAGCCCAGAGAACAGAAATTAATTTTATTCTGAGTTTTACGGACACGCTTAGCCTGGAAACTGGAGAAATTGTTTGAAACATTTAAACACATCACCGAAAATGTATTTAAACATAAAGTGACTTGGCTAGTCTGGCTCGAATTTTAATCAAATTCATGTGCAGCTCAGTAACATAAAATACCAGTAATAACAGAATTTATTTTAAAATCTCAATTGTAGAATCGCTCAGCACAAATTACTAAGGCGGTTACAAAATGATTCAACCCTTTCATGACTAGCATAATTAGTGATTAGCAAAGCACCTGTTGTTGTTATGACCTGCTGGAAGTTGGAGCTGGGTGGCAAATCAATTTTATCCATTAAATAAAATTTCTGTTTATGATCATTTAAATTTAGGGAAATCTGGATGCTTTCTTCCCCACCAGTGGCTCTATTTGGGTTTCCAAAGATCAGAGTGATGCAGATGTGGTTAAATGGAGTTGTGTTTACAAGACACAACTGTCTTGTAAACACAACTCTGACTGTTAGATTTCGTCTAACAGTCGGTCTCAGAGTAAAACAAGCAGTCAGACAGCAGAGTGAGCCGGCTATTGGATTCCTCTAATCACACCTCAACAGATCCACTAGTGGAAACAACAAACACAAAACAAGACAAGATTTCCACACAGGGAACATAAAATGTTTTATTTTAATCTTTCAGCTTGACAAAGTTGTGTCGACTGCCGAAGACATGAAGAACATCGGGAACGTGATGTTTAAGAAGCAGGACTGGACAGCTGCAGCGAAAAAATATAAGAAAGCCCTGAGGTAAGATTCTGTGTCTCTGCAGCTCTGATTCCTTTTCAGTCACAATCGTCCTGAGAGAGACGCACGAATCAAAGAAGCACTTCAATAATGCAGCTATCAAATGAAAAATGTTAAGGTCATCTGCATAAATCAAACAAATATTTCGTACAGTATCTGAAATAAGTTGATGTCCCAAAGGTGATTTGAGACACAGTTTTAATTAAGTTCAATAATACCATATTTCTCCCCAAGGGAAATTAAATGTTTCGTAATTCGTAACATCCTAGTATCTTCAAAGAGTCATTGTGGGCAGTGATGCTGTGAAAGGAAGAATATCAGGTAGCAGTCAGTCTTTCAACAAATCTCAAGGGGCCTCTGACCGAAGACTTGCTGTATTACCTTAACTTAAAAACATGACCAAAAGTCTAGAAAAAGAATAAATCAGAATGCAAGACATGCCCAGAGTTGAGAGCAATAAAAAAAGACAGAATCAAAAGGTTCCCTGACAAAATTGAACAGGAAAAATCAAGTTTTCAGCTTGTCAGAAATGGCAAATAATGCTAAATAATGATGGTGCTTTTTGTTGTAAAAGTTGTGGCTGAATGAATAATCTATTTTGTCAGTTTTTTCTTAAAATATTCAAACGAATCAGAGATTTAAGAAGCCATTTAAAATGAAATCCATTTTTTCATTCAGCTACAAGAGGTTAAGACTTGAGCTAGATAATGGAAGGCTGAATGCAGTCGTTCTATTTTATCCTCCTGTGTTTTCAATCTCTGTCATGGATTTGATGGATTTGGAGAAGTTGGCAGCCATTAGTGTTTGCTGTGGTGTTGGAGATAATGTTAGGGTCCTTCTGCCTCTGAAGGAATGAAACAAGAGCAAAAAGATGAACTCAGTTTTTTGGTGTGAGTTGGAGTCTTCCGGGATACGTGTTGTGGTCAGGGACAGAACTTCAAGGCAATGTCATATAATAAAATTTATGGAGAGAAGGGTCTGTGATTTAGGAACCTTGGAGTCTGATCTTTCCTTTTTTGTTTATAACTCGGCTCTTTCAGCACAACCTCCAGCATGAAAAAACAATATTCATAACTGGGACGGTTTGATCATTTGATCAGGATGTTTTCTGACTGCCTGCCTTTATTTATTTAACCATGTCAGAGCCCAGTTTCTCTTACTGACAAATCTTGATGTCTGCAGTGCTTAAGATGTTCTTTTGGCATGTTTTGTGACCTCCTGGATGCCTCTGCACCACTGATTAAGTGGAGCACCAAGTTTTTCACACTGGTTGAATGGCAAAGGAGAATTATTCTCCACTTCATCAAAATTGTGAATATTAAAGAAACATTTACAGTTAAAATAACTCAAAATATCTTTTGATATCCATTTTGTTTTTATATGAATTGATTAAAATTAGTTTGATCTGAAATAGTAAAGTGCTAATAAAAGCCGGTAAGGATACAAATACTTTCACAGTTCTGTAGTTTTTCTGAAGTACACACCTCTTATTTTTGTTGCCAACCTCATTAATTACATATGAAATGGTAAACAGTTTAATCTGTGAAATCTATCACTTAGTCTCCACATCGAGTCAAAGTAAAAGTAAGTATTTATTCTTAAAAATAGGAATATAAACAGTTTTACACTGACTGCATTGACACATTTCAGTGTCATTCTGTCTTTTCTTATGAAAGAGAAATTTGTACCAGCAATTCAAAGCTGGGAAACAATTAGCCACAAAAGTCCGAGGGCCCCACCTGTACCTGAACCTTTATGGCCTTCTTTGTGTTTGTGCAGGTACCTGGACATGAGTGGCAACCTGGTGGAGGATGAAGAGGAACACAGGAAGCTGGAGCCCACAGCAGTCAGCTGCTTCCTCAACATGGCCGCCTGTAAACTGAAGCTGCAGCTTTGGCAGGAGGCTCTGAAGAGCTGCGATGAGGTAACACCAGCAGATCTGCTCCTATAGCTGCTTTACTGCAGATCAACAGACAGGGTTAAAATGTTGCATTTCCCACAAGGTGGTGAGTTATTTTAACTGGAAAACCAATTCATCTAGGTGTGGTTAGAGCATCATAGCTATAACTTTAAAGGCATTAATCAAAAGAAGGTTGAGTAAAAATTTTTGTTTCAGGCTCTTGAACTAAACCAAGAAAACACAAAGGCACTTTTCCGGAGGGCCCAGGCCTGGCAGGGGTTGAAGGAATACAACAAAGCCTTGGTAAGCTTTTCAAAGCTTTTCTTCATCTTGAGAGAAGAAGAGAAAGAGAGTTATCAAAGCAGCTGCTGGTGGTGGTGGGTGTCACCAAACTGGCAGCTCATAAGCTGGGGGTGTTTTGTTTTTTTTATACATAATTGCATCTGAAGTAATAGCAGCAGTCCATCATAATAACCTGGATCATTGTTTTTTAATAGAAATTATTTCTAAATGCCAAATTCACAAGAAGGTGTAGAAGAGTAATCAAAAACTAACAGACCCAACAATGTATGCTGCTGGTTGTGGTGTAATTAATTAAAAGCTGTGCACTCAAAAGAATAGCAGTCCATGAAATCATTCATTATGTGAAACGGGCATTAAAAAGGTGACCTGGATTTAATGATGTACATACTGTATATAGCAGTCCTGATGAACATGTATCAGTCCAGAGAAAAGTCTGAATGCTGCATTATACTTTAGAGCAGGGTTAAACGGCTCTGGTTGTACTTGTAGTTGGATCAGTCTTAAACATAATCCAACTTCTTGGATCATGTTTAAGACTAAATGACAGCAAACTGGTGTTTTTAACATGAACGTGTGAATGAAAATTTTACAAATTTTTTCTAGTAATATTCTTTTACCCTCATTTCCTGAACATCAACAGATTTGATCAGCTTTTCTTTTAATGTAATTTTTTAATGTAATTTACAAGTATATAATATTGAGCTATACTAATTTTTTTAAAGGAACTATTTAGCAAATGAAAGTGATATTCTTTGTACTGTCAAGTTGTTCTAAAATTATTTTATTTGCCTTTTGCTTTAGGGTGATCTAAAGAAAGCTCAGGGAATTGCTCCGGAAGATAAAGGTATGTTTTTTTTTTTATTATAGTTTATATTTTTCATGTTGCCCCTATAAGCCTAAATTCAGCTTGGAAAACTTAAAAGTGTAATAAAAACATTTCATCGGCTAATAACTGCCTATTAGTTAACATTAACAAAAAGAGATGAGTGACATCAGTATAGAAGAACTACAAATAGTTCAATCTTATCAAGATGTCACCCTTTTCATGTAAAAACAATAAAACCTTTTCAATTATTTGTTTTGACAGCCATCATCAATGAGATGAAGAAAGTCCAACTTAAAATCCAAGAGGAGAAGGAGAAAGAAAAGAAAATCTATGCCAAGATGTTTGCCTGAAGACAAACTTTGTGCTGCAACAAGTTGTCGTTTAATTTTTGCAGTCATCTCAGTAAAAACTGAAGTTATTCAGAGACTGTAACAGTATTCTCATTCTACTGTAACACTTCACTGATTACCTCAAGCTTTGGTCTGAAGCATATTACAACTGACTAACACAGGCTTGTGTCTTATTCTACATGAAGTTGTGTATCCTGTATCATTTCATTGTTGAGATTTTGATACAATGCACCAGTTTGTTTTATTTATGTTTTTACTGGTCAATAAAACAACGGATAACTCAAGTTTTCTTTATTTTCTGTGACATTATACAGTATTAGTTAGTTTATGTTAAAAATGCCAACAGACAATTTACAGCTTAATTTTTACAAAACTGACAGAAAATGTTTCTGTTATTTTCTCTTTAAATGGATTAAAATGCCCACAGAGCTCATGCAGAACCTATCAGTTGGACCTTCAAGATTCATAAACACGCTTTATAATTTAAAGTTGTACCCTCAGACAGCTACACGGCTAACGGTTCATACTCAGGCACATACTGATCGCTCCGGTCTCCTTAATGTGGAAAACAAAAGTTTTGTTGAAGATAAAAGTTCACATTCCGTTGTAGGCAGGTCCGCCGCCGCCCTCCGGTACCACCCAGTTGATGTTCTGGCTGGGATCCTTGATGTCGCAGGTCTTACAGTGGACACAGTTCTGAGCGTTGATCTGTAATCTCATCCCATCTCCAGTTTCCACGGGAACGTACTCATACACACCTACAGGATGGACGGAGGAAAGAAAATAAAAAAACCCAAATGTTTAACGTAAATGTAATTCAATCAGGTTTTAGAGACCTGAAAGAAACGTCTTTGCATTCAATCCTCCTTAATTAGGACTTTCTAGGATGTAACTCACTCTATAACATAATATATCGATTTGCTTGGATGATGATACCAATGTTGTTCGATTTCATAAAGTCCATCATGATACGATTTTGATTTAAATTGTATTATAGACATCTTTATGTCAACTTACAAAAAAAATGAAGTTTGATGTCACTTATTTAATTATTTCAGTTTTTCTAAGCATTTGTCAAAGTAATAAAATATAGCAATCTATTCTAGACTCATTCCTCATATCATCTTGTATTTAGCTATATGTCGTTTAGAGCCACAAGCATTAAAAAATATATATACATGTGCTGTTGAAAGTTGATACTATTTTTTTAAAGAAACAGTTTATTTCTACTTTTAGGTTTTGAAATAAAGCATGTATACAGTTTCTTCCACAAGACGCAAATCTACATTTAAAAGTCTTTTTTTTATCCGAAGTTAAAGAGGTTACAGGCCTCTGATAGAGGCACACCTTGACAATAAACCGTTTTCCATATTGAGCAAAAAACAATGAGCCACAGTCTGCTCAGAATAACTGAAGGTTAATCTGACATTTATCTGCTTTCATGAACAGACGCCGTGCGAAAGATATGAAGCTGAAGATGGCGAGTCTGTGTAGAAATACAAATTTGAGGACGAAGGAGTAGATGATTGAGTTTGAATCAAAATGCTTAAATGTAATTAAACTAATAATAATAATGAAAGAACAAAACAGACTAGAAACATTAAAATAGATTTTTAACACAAACATTGAAGCTGCAACCATAAAACACTAAAATGTTTCAAGTCAAGTAAACAGTTATTTGATTAATTGCTGTCCTGCATGATTCAACCCACTGTGCTTTTGTTTGTTGCATTTAAAGGAAATGCAACAAACAATGAGTTTCCCACATGAGCCACATAATGAAGCTTCACTTTCCAGCTATTTCCACCAAAGTCGGTCTTTGACAAAATGAGTTCAGTTGCTTTCAAAATGAGATAAACAGCCAATAATTTAAGCGTCTGCCTCATTTGCACAAACACTTCCACACCAACAGCAGCCCTGTATGTCTGGTAGAATTTGCCCCATGCAACACCCAAGATGTTGGACTATTTTAATCAATAAATTTTAATTATCTGGAGGAAAACAGACCCCAGGCAGAAACGTTGTTTTGTTAGAAGAGTGTTGCTTGTTAACAGGTTTTTCTTGTTTTTCTTTGGAGTTTAAATTATGAATTTCTAGAGGAAGCTCCATGTCTCAACACATTCAACAGTAGCTTTTTGTCTTGAAGATACAATCTAAAAGAGTGTTTTCCCTTCTAGATGAATTATCAGAGATGATTCTCTTTACAGATACATTACTTTCAAACAAGAGAATACCTTCTGTGAACCTGGACAGACTCAATGTGCTCAAGCTCTGCTGAAAGGTTGTGAGGTTACCTGCCGGGCAGAAGCGCTGCTCTGGTCCGTCATAAATAGCCAGATTCCTTTCGACGGGGATGCGGTCGTCCTTTAGGGTCAGGTGTGGAGGCTGGTCGCCCTCGTGGTTGGTGCCGCTCAAGGCCACTGAGGACAGCAGGTCGAAGCTGATTTTGCCGTCGGGCTTCGGATACTCAATGGGCTTACAATCTTTAGCCGGTTTCAGCTGGTTTGCATCCAGGCCTGCCGCAGAAAGAGCACAGTGGGTTAGGAGGCATTGTCCTCAGAGGATGACTAAAACAACGGAACCGTCCAGACGACCGGTCCGAGTTGAGACAGATCAGTGGTGCAGCTGCTGCAATTCAGCTAGAGGTGCCTCAAAATGAACAAGACTAATAAATACAAGATTTTTGGAGCCAGTGAGAAGGACTACATCGTAACCTCGAGACCAGGGTTGTCCAAAGAGAGACCCGGGGGCCATTTCCGGACCTTGAAAGTATTTTGTCTGGCCCTTAACTACAAGTTACAAATGGAAAAAAATTTAGCCAATAAAATAGAAAACAACTAACCCCCAAAATTTTGTTATTTTCTTGTTCTTTTCAACCCAAAGTTCTTTTTATTTTTTGGCTCTTTAATATACAGTCGTTCTGTTGATGAGTGAGAAAACAAGGAGGACCAACATCAGCAGATACACAGACTTCTCATCATCCTGCTGTGGAAACGTTACTACATTGTGCTCTGTCCTTCCAGAATATGGAATCTACATTTCCTAATGAAATTGACTTTCATCTGAAGAGCAACAATCTTTATCTCAGGTAAAACAGTTTCAACATCGTCTTTATTGCGTCGCATTTGGCTTTACAATCTTCTCAGGAATGCGGTTATCCAATTGGGTTTTGTTTTCTGCCCAACTTTCTAAAATGCTTGGATATGACACTCTGAATTAACTACAATAATCTTAGTCATAATGGTGTGTGCAATACTGTGATTGCAAAAGTATGAATGATAGAAAGTAAATTTTCAGACTTATCTGATCACCCTATAAGCATCTCTGTCCAATTGGATGGACTCAACTTCTGGTGTATTACTGCAGAGATACACCAGCTGTGTATCTCTGCAGTGTGTGGATAGTGTTCAGGAAGTCTCCTGAAAATGATTCTGTTCCAATATTAAATGTTTGAGCAATAGAATCACAGTTAAACACTTTTATGAAATTATGCAGTCCTAGAAAAGAAAGCACTCGAAACATTTCACTCTTTTGATTATGATCATATTAATTAAGGAATGTCTATATTATTTATTGACCATGTGTTGGTTTTTGCATTTTAGTTTCACAAAAGAGAAAACACATTTCAACAGTTTCTCTTTTATACCTTTGTATCTTTGCCCGTTTCACTTTATATAGTTGAGCAAACATTAGATTTGATGCTATCAAACAGTTTTCAAACAGTTTTCAAACAGTTTTCATCAGTAATCAATTGGATAAAGTCTGAAGTTAAACCCACATAAAGCGATGCTCCTCACCTATGTGTTTTAGTGTCCAAGGCTCTTTTCCTCGTAAAATCCAGTAGAAAATACCGGTGTACACCATCCCACCATAAAGACCAAAGTAGTTGTGGAAGGACGGCCTGATGTTCCTCACAGCGTACAGCTCTTTCCACACAGAGGAATTCTTCAAGTTGTCACTGTACTCAGGTATATGAAGCCCTAAAATACATAAAAGGTTTTACAGTGAAGAGTGAATTGTAGGCTCTCTGTTTTTGAGTCATTAAAGAATGACAACAGCTGCAGATTTGAAGGAAAATATAAGACAAATAAAACAACCAACTAGACAACCTTTTCATAATAGGTCCAGTCTGTTAGAATCAAGCTAAAGTTGGTTCATTTATTCTCCATTTTATTTGCTTCAAAAGTCACAAACTCTGAACTGGAAATCAAATTACAACTGAGCTGAAAATTTTCTATTTTCCATATAAAACCAGTGTGTTTGCTTATTCATTGCCAGCTCAGGCCAATAAATGTGGACTTTAAACACTAATGGAACATAATTATCAGTAGACACTGAACAGTACTGTTTGCAAATGAGTTAATGAAGTGCAAATAAATAACTCCTACATGCAGAGCAGCCATTCTGAACTGCATGACCTCAACAGAAAGTTCCTGTTGCTGCTCCAACCTGATGCAGTTCTCAACCCCTTAACTTTGATCCATATTTTGTCATGTATCAAATGCAGAGCAGAAAAGTCATTATATTACCAATTTCATTGTGAAATATTCAGTGCCACACTTGAGTATTTTTCAAGATGACAATGCTTGACTCTCAAAGAATATGTTGGACCTCAAAGCTACCCGTTATTTTTCATAGTCTTTGGCCAGACGTTTTTTTATTGATATTTCAGTTCTGTGATTGATGCACCTGCAGTTTTAGACGTTTAGTTCCAGTTTGACCGCGGCTGTCAAGTTGCACTTTTCTAACTTTTACAAAGTCAACCTTCCTAAAGTTTCAAAACGTTCTGCTCTGAAGAAATATTTGTAGCTACTGTATATTGACTTAAATACAGAATAAAATATAGCTAACAAAAGAGGTCATATGACCTCCAAAAGACCAAGGAAAGCAATTGGGTTAATTGTCAAAACTAAGATATGACTGTACAAAACTACTAAAGCTGTAAATTTATTAAAGAAAATAAATCATCTTCAAAGAAACATCTCAAATTAGCAAACTGTCTAAATCAAGTATTTATAAGACATGTAATATTAAAATTTTCCCAAATACTTAATTTTGGAGTTTTATTAACTGTAAACCACAATAATAAAATAAAAAATCTGAGAAATGCTGGCTCAGGATGCAAAACTGGCAGAAGCAGAGAACCCACCATAAATTACAGTGAACAGAAACAAACTAGGCCTGAATATGTAAGTTGAAGTTCCACACCTGCAGTCTCTGAGTCCAGATTCTCTGCAGTGACTTTAGGGAAAATGGCTTCAGCAGCCAGGATGCCGCTCTTCATGGCTGTGTGGGTTCCTTTTATCTTTGGGACATTCATGAACCCCGGGCTGCAGCCAATCAGCAAACCTCCAGGAAACGTCAGCTTTGGGATGCACTAAGAAAGAAACAGCCAGAAAACAAGAGTTTTAATGAGCTGTCATTATTTAATTATCATCTTACAACAGCAACACCAAAAATCTGCTAAGGCTCCTCATTAGCAATATAAGCCTGAAAATCGGAACTAATGAATTGAAGGTTGAACATATTTAAAGCTTAGTTTGATTAAAAACTAGGCTCAGTACAAGAGAGGAAATGTATAATGTTTTGTTTTGTTACAATCTTGCAGCAGCAATTTGGTGTTCTTGCAAAATTTGACTTTGCCATTTTGCAGATGGTTTTAATCAAACACAGAAGCACTAAAGTTAACAAACCCCCAAAGGAGAAACTTTTCTCCCTTAATCATGTCAGCACTGCTTCCACCTCCAAAGTCTCAGCAGGACCCAGGCTCTGAGATTTACACCAGATCAGTTTGTGAAGTCGGGAGAAGATTGATTTAAAATAACAATCACCTTGTTAAGGGCAACCAGAAGCAGCTTTCCTCATCAATTAAAGCAACATACCTGAAATCCTCCCTCATTTAAGGCTCTGGCTCCGTAAGCAATCCTCTGGCCTCCCTCCAGCGTGGAAGCTACAAAGGGGTGATGCTTCCAACGCTGAAACTCCCTGAAGGGGCTTAAATACGGATTGGAATAATCTAAACCAACCTGGAACAAGAAGGGGTATCATTAACTGAAGAGCAGCCATAAACCTGAATTCATAAACCTCAGACAATCCATCAGGACTCTCCATCATTTTATGAATTTGAAATATCTGAAAAAGCAATCTTCAGGCTTTCTTAAAAAGTCTTAATAGGCATTGAATTCATTAATCCAAAAATAAGGCCTTAAATGGTATTAATATGTCTCAAAATTCTTACTCATGAATATGGTTTTATGATAGTAAAAACCATATTTTGATGGTTTTATGATAGTAATTCGTCTCATATTAAAATAATTGGTGACATTTAACATAAATTATTAGTAATTTACCAAACAGCTCTCGATGTAACATCACATGATCCCAATAGCAGAACTAACGAAAGAAACAATCAAACAAACATTGTCTGTCTAATCAAGATATTTCTGCATGGCTAAGATCAGTACCAGCCATGCATTGCATTTTTTGGGAAGTGTAAAACAAAACGTGAACATCAAGCCAACAACAGACGGCAGTCATTTCTGGTTTTGCAAGCATGTTGTTTTAAGATGCTTGCAAAACATCTTAAAACAAAAAAAATCTTAGTGATCTTTTTCTTTTGTTTAATAAGTTTGTTAACTACATTAACCAAAAAAACCTCTCAAAAATAAAAGAAAATTAAAAACTATTGAGTACTGCAGAGTTGTTGTTTGGAATTAATAGTCATCTGCCATTTGTGTATTTCCAAGTTTTCTTTATTTTTGGAAAGTTTTTACAAATTTGACACTTTACCAAAAAGTCATACATTTGTTAAAACAACATTTGGGTTAAATTGGTGGTAACTGGAGTTGTTTTTCCCTATATTTGTGTTTTTCCCTATTATTGTGAAGTTAGTCTTAAATTTTATTTCAAGTGGCAATAAAAAAAGTTTTACATTTATCTTGTTAGAATCCTGAATATTAAGCTTACAAAAATCAAAATGTTTTTTAACAAAAGATAGGCTTAATATAATGACTTTATGCTTTAGTTATAAAGCAATATGCAGGAAGTTAATTCCGCAAAACAAACATTTGCAACATTACCTCCAAGCAGTATTGAAATACTGCGCCCAGGAGTAATGGAATCATCCGATTATCCTGATATTTCTTTATTTATTACTACAATAAGGTTAATTTTCATACACACAAAATGTGAAAGCACTCACCACAAAGCCCAAGGCAACAAGAGGCTCTCCTTCATTCAGATGATACAGGAAGGATCCTCCGTATGTGTGTCTGTCCAGAGGCCACCCAACAGAATGCTCCGTTCTGCCTGGTTTCCACTTCTTCTCATCGATCATCCACAGCTGAAAAAACCCCAAAACAAAACACATCGTCTTTACACTATGCAGTTCAGATTTAATCTATCAGAATTATTCACTTAAACCAGTTGGAGAAAAAAAGGACATTAATCTTAGGGATGTTTTTTTGTTTTTGTTTGTTAAATTAGTCTGTTAATTACCTCCTTCAGGCCAATAGCATAGGTCTGGGGTTCACAGTTCTCCCTCAGGTTGAATTGCTTATAAAGCTGCTTTGCTAAATGGCCATGGCAGCCCTCTCCAAACACAGTGACCTTAGCGTGGAGCTCCATTCCTCGCTCAAAAGTATCCTAAAATGGGATTAAATATCGACGTATAGTTGTATCAAACACAATGAAGCGTCTGGAAAATTACTCACAATTTTTAAACAACCACAAAAATTTAATGCGATTGATCAACAACGAGAAGCAAATGAGATGCGTTCTTCAAACTAAAAATCCTTGGCATGCATTTGTTCCTAGAAACAGGCTATGAAAAATAAAATCTCAGATTACCTTTTTAACACTAGATATTATTTTAATATTTTTTTTCTTCTTTTTTCTTAGAAATAAATTAAAGTAGGATTAAATTGGAAGGTATGACCTGAATTTAGCTGAACTCCCACTCACTTATATTTTGGTAACATGTACATGAACTGCTTTAAAATGGTTTACATTGGAGAAACATCAAAAGTTTCTGAATTTAAAGTGATTAGCCATTAGCATAAAAAAACATGTCCTAAAACTGAAGATGCTATTTTATCCCCTACAAGTAAGTGATTTATTGTAAAAATGTGAACTTTTCTAACATGTAAATAAAACATATCTTGCTGAAAAGGGTCAAAGGATAAAAGTTTAACCTAAAAATGTGGAAAAAGGATAGTAAATATTTAAAGAAAGTTCAGAATCACAGCAACTGAATGCACAGATTCCTTGTGCATTCAGTTGCACGAGGAAGAAATGTGTTCTCTCAACACGTATTTAATAAATAATGAGGGAAAGCAGTCAAAAGTACATTCTTAAGGTCTCAACTTTAAGTCAGCTATCCTGACAAATCAAATCGTCCAGTGCTGTTATTGTACAACAAAGAGACTCTAAAATAAAATGAGCTTTCTACATGGTTCATTACCTTTGGTGAGCCATCCTTGGCAATCCCCACATCATTAGTGGCAATCCCTTTAACACTTCCGTCCTCATGAAATAAAACCTGAAAGTAAAATGCAGAAATGGCCACAAAGGATGACGGCTGTCTTTATGCAGCTGGAATTACCCACATGAAAACACAAGTTTTCTGAATATAGCTTCGAAAGTCAACTCTTTAAAGTACACAATGAGGAAAGAATGTTAATATTTAATCTGCAGAGCAGAATATTTTGTGGGCTTATTAAAGAAAGCCATAGCAGATTTTAATTTTTTAATATTTCTTCAGGGTTTGTTGGATTTTCTTCAGGCAGGTTTTCATGGCTCTTCCTCCATCGTGTTCCTCCAGCAGTAAAATGTTGCTCTGCCAGCTTGAGATCAAACGAGTGACCCAGTCAGCAGATCATCCCACCTTGATCCCTTCCACATCTCCTGGGCTGCTTTCACAGTATGCTTTGAATCAGTGTCCATCCGAGTGTTGGAGCGTCGTTCATTCAGCTGTGCTGAAACTGGCTGGCTCTGACAGCACATCCCTCCAGAATTCATCTGCCTGCTTCTGTCAGATGATCAAATACCAGCAGCGACCGGGCGCCATCTGGAAGCCATCCTGATGCCTCCATGTTGGGGTCTACCGTTTCAAGCCTTCGCTACACTTTCATCTTCCTGATTTTAGTTTCATCAGAACAAAGAATACTTTACAACAACCAGGCTGACATATTGCCTAGTGTTTTCAATCTGTATGATACAACTTATGCCCTTTTCTTTAGAGATTTGTTTTGGGACATGATTGATTACAAGTCTACAAATAAAAAATATAGACTTTTAACTAGCAATTAAGTGATATATAAATCAATTTATTGTTGTGTTTAAAGATTGTAAGTATGTTGGATTTACAGACATAAAAAGTTTTTTAAAAAGTTTATCCAGCTGGTGTTCTGGCTAATGAAATGTTAAAACATTTATTTATCATTGTTATTGGTATTTTCCTTTGTCCACTAACAAAATACAAATTGTTTTACTTATGAAAAGCGTTGGTAGGAAAAGGGTTGTTATACATCCCGATTTCTTTTAAAGGTGCGAGTTACAGTTTGGGTCAGGTGAATGAAATGCAGCAGTTCAATAAGATAATCCTAAACACATTAAATTAAGCTTGAAACACCAGAATGGAAAGAAAAATGGAGTAAAGCAAACAGGGTCAAACACAACTTTACTTCAATTCAATATGGGAAGTCATGTAGTCTGAAGACTCCACCTTAAGCTCCTCACTCACTGTAACTACAAAAATACTTGGCAAACTATTAAAATGATCTCTTACGGTATAAATACCGTAAGAGATCATGAGCTTAAATGTACATTTGTAAATTAAGAATACTGTAAAAACAGTGGGCCAGCCAGTTAGTGTAAATTACTGTTAAAAGATTCATTTGCCACCTTCTTGATACAGAAAGACATAATTTAAAGAGCAGCTTTGAATTATTATAATATAATTTATTAAACTCTGAAAAGACACTTAATTCTGTAGAAGTTTGATGTTTTAATTTTATACTAGCAGTGATGTCCTGGAATAATAGAATTCTAAAATAACCTAAATAAATCCGCTCTACGCTTATAGGTAAATTACATTTGGGGGAACCAAAACATATGAACAAAATGGATAACATGGTTGTAAGACATGTAATAGGATAAAAATATGTAAATCCTCTTTGATCAAAGGAACTGAAGATCTCACCTCAGCTGCAGCATAACCGGGATAAATCTCCACTCCCAGCTCCTCAGCCTGCTCCCCCAGCCAACGCACAAGGTTTCCCAGCCTCACAATGTAGTTACCATGGTTCTGCATGGGCAGTCCTAAACACATTCAGATAAATCACAAAAACATATGCAGTAATGTTGGATGATACATTGGTTTATTCCAGAGAAATCCTCCAGACAGCATATTCTCAGCTCAAAGTGTTTACAGCACCATGTGGAAAATATCTTCAAGTGAGCCAAGTCAAATATATTTATAAGCTGCACCACTGAAGAATATTTCATCTTTTGCACATCAACATAAATGCACAGCATCAAGACGATGCACACAAATTGCAGTCCAGGCAGAAACATTGAAATTGTAGGGAGTCTCTTGGTTTATATAGAACTCACAGAAATAGCCATGAATCTAGGACTGGCCTCAAATAAACATGAATAAAACTCAGATTAGTCATGTCATAAACAAAGGGAGAGTTATAAACTTCCTAACTAAGGAGCCTAATGGAGGTTTTTACCTGGCAGTATAGGGATGGGTATCCTGTGCTTTTCTGTAAAAATGCTGAACACATCTTCTGTCACCGGAGTGTGCAGAGGGGCCTGAGGGAAAAAGCAAATATGTTCCTGAATACATTTTACACTTTACCGATACATTAACAGTTTAATATGCTTGCCAGTATTAGTATGGCAAAATGCACATTAATTGGCTGAGAAATGAATTACAATATGTAAGTGACTCATTTAACTACAATATTTGACTCTGTAAATGAACAATGAAAGGACAGGAGTTACCAGAGGAGCCCCCCTTTTGATTATTTTTCTGTAGAACGTTAACTTTAAATAATTTGTGAAATATTTGCATATTTGTGGATTTTTTCATAGAGAACATCTTAAATATACAAAAGAAAATGGTGATTGGGGAGCTGAATTTTCTAGGAGCAATGCTAATTAACACGCTACTGGCTTGCATTTGCAAAACAACCAATCCAGCTTTGCCATTTCTTTTCTTTGGCACAGTTTGCCTGAACCAGAAAAACTGAGATTATTTTAATTTTAGTTTTATTTTGTCCCATTACCTGGATGACTTCACTCTTATAGTGCATTTAGATAGACAGTTGGACAGAAAAATATATTAGAGTAAATCAATATTAAGAGTCCACAAAGTACAAGATCTGATAGGTTCATTCCTGATTGATCTTGTTCTTCAGAGGTCAATAATGAGCTCCTCCTGATGTCACTTACTCCTAAATTCTTAGTGATATTTGGGCAGCTTAGGAGCCACACATATTGAGATACTTGCCCCTCGTTCCTTCCAGTCAGGAAAAAGCTCAATGAGGGCACTGGGCTCCAAACAGGCTCCTGACAGCGTGTGAGCGCCGATCTGAGGGGCCTTCTCCACCAAGCACACTCGTAGTTCCTTCTCTTGTTCATTTGCAAGCTGCTTAAGGCGGATGGCTGCAGAGAGACCAGCAGGACCACCGCCTACAATCACAACATCGGCCTCATCCCCAAACCTCTCCATTTCCATACCTGCAAGAGAAAAGAGCAAACCAGATAAGATGCATGTTTGCGAAGGTCTGTAACAGTATTGAGATGATTAGTTGGAGAATAAATAAGTAACTTAAAAAAAATTTAAAAAAAGATTTTCCATCTGATTTGAGCCAAGATTCAAGATAAAAGCCAGTCTGTAAACCCTCCCAAAAATCTGAAATAACGTAAAGGCCACATGGAATTATTCTTATTTATATAATTTATATGTGAAAAACGTGCAGTGATTAACTGTCCAATTCAATACTTTAAGTTTTATAATGAAGCAGTTACTCAGCTTTACTGTTTACCTTCAGTTTTCTTTGTTTTACTGAATCTGAGTGCATCTAAGTAAGACTGCACTTAAGTACAAAAGAAAAAGGACGGAACACTGAACGATTATCAGTCAGCAGAAAGGGCCAAGGTCAATGCAAGAATAGTGGTTTAACTGCTGCAGAAACCAGTGTAGGTGTAATCCAGAGTTCCACACAGTCTCACCACAAATTTATGACCAATAACAGGTGAAACCAAACGTCACTCAGTCGAAGTTGTGGTGTTTTGTTTGTTGGAAGCAGAGCCTTGGACAACGAAGGAAATATTAATGTCGGCTTCATGATAGATTTACGAATGCAGATTTTATGGCATAAAATAAAATCAACAAAACTGAGATGTTGGAGATTTAAAACTTGATCCATAAAAGGCCAGCTGAGGATCAAGCTTATCGTTAGTAATCAGTATCTCCACATATTGACAGTTGTTTAATATGTATGCAATTTTGGGGTCCATGACAACAACAAAAACTGTTATTACCCCCTCCACCGCTAAAGTTAGTTAGCTTTCCATAACTAACTTTAACTGCTTGCAACTGCCTTGCCACCTTTGGTACAATAATGGCACTAGCAGAATATTTAGCTAGTAAATTATATATGCAAATTATATATACAGCTTACAATATGCAAATCACTATTTGAAGCAACAGTGTCATTGATCCAGTTCTCAAAGTCTAGCTTTCTCGCAGACTGACTTTCAGTGGACAACATGACAAAGACTGTGCAGCCTGTCTGAGACATATTGGACATAAAATAGATTTTAGGTCCAAGCTCTCTCACCACCAGCAACAGTCACAGGCAAGGTGCAGAATATACATAAAGCAATCCAGACTTCTCAAAATATACTATGTAGTTGCATTTTGTTCACTTCATTTAGGAGAACAAGAAGGGAAAAGTTGGAAGCGAAAGTGGCAGCATACATCTGTAACTTACACGCAAGTTAAGGTAAGATACTCGCTGATCAAACCGTCCGGATATTTATTTCATTTTATAAAGATACATTTCAGTTAGAAATAAATATTTCAGTGTTGTTGTAAAAAGAGCAAAGAGACAAATCCTGATAAGACTCCCTGAAATGATGCTAACTGACATGTCACTAAACAGTGTTGCTCACCTTTCTCACTGGGGCAGGGAGGAGATAGGACGGTAAGGGGGGTTAGGACTGCTGCTGACTCATCTGTTGCCAAGTGCAGTAAAAGGTACAGGAAGAAGTTAAATCTATGAATATCTTTGTAAATATATTTCTTCACTGATTAAATGCTCGTGAAATGGAAGCTAACAGTACCAGGATTTCCCCAAGAAAACTTGCTAAGCCTGGTGGTCAGGGCAGTCCACTAGCAGCCCACCGTACTTATGTTTTAAATAATGTTAAAAGTTGACTGATAAAATGTATGATCTCACATCAGTCTCACAGGACATTCTGCATTGAACTCTAAATGCTACTGGTGCACATTGCTGGCCTTGTCCCGTTCATTGCTTTAGCTATTAACCCTTCTTTGTTATCACAGATTTCGGTGTGTATAATAAAAACCCTTTTGAAAAAAAAAACACCATCACTTAGCCAGTAGGGAGGACAAGAAAAGCCTGGTGGTGTACCAGGCTTATAATACACTGGGGGAAATCCTGAGCACACCTGTAGCTACGCTAACTAAGTTAAAATCTTGATAATCATACACTGCAGTCTACCCACCTCTCTCGGAGAAAAACTAGGTTACAAACTGACACCCTTTCTTCTGTCTGTCTTCTTTTTCTTTTTTGAAAACCTGACTTTACCATTTTTCCTGGCAGTATAGTAACAGCAACAAAGCATTTCATGCAGACACAGAGGAGTGTTAGCTTTTTGCTCTAGGAAAGAAAATAACATTTTTACATAAAAAAAAAAATTAGGGGTCCTTGGATTATGAAGACAGAATAACGTTTATTGTTATTTGCTTTATTTTAAGATTGCTTTCATTCCACAGGTGGGGTGTTAACTGTTGATATTTATGTGAATATTAAAATTAATTTGTTACAAATTGCAAACTGACAAGTTATTTTTATTTTCTTTGTCAATAGCTGCATAGTGTTACAGACACTTTGTGTCTGCCTAAAAAAAGAAAAATAAAGAAAAGGTGAAATAAGCATCAACCTTTTTCGAACTGATATTCATCAGTCCAACAAATGTCAATGCAAGTGATATTTGGACTTTGCAGTGTAAACATGTACGCACTAATTTACCAGTCTAAAGCACAAAAGTTCAAAAATGGAGGAACTAATTATCAAAATAATACATAGTTGCGTATTTGGGATTACTCTGGCTTTTAAGCAGATGAAAGATGTAAACAAAGCGGTTTGTTGCTTGTGTTGACATAACGTCTCATACGTGTCAAACTTGAATGAGAATTTTAAGTTTTTGCGCATGCTATGTTTTTTGCCCGATGGCAGATCTCCATCAACAAGCTCTAGAAAAGCTTTTCACCAGCAGAAACTTTTACTAAGATATTTGGACACAAAAAGGGACAGCTCTAGACAAATCCAGTGCATCAAAATATTTCTGAAAGTAAATTATGTTTCGCGACGTACAAAAGCAGTCCTTCGTTGAGTTACCTCATTTTTTGGAGCTTTTTGGGGAGAATGAGGTTTCCAACTTAGCACACAGCGGTAGAATGGGCGCAGACAGAAATGGACTGTTACCTCAGCAAGGAGGTCAAAGGTCATGAAGAGGAAGATCCACTGGTTTGGTGGAAAAAGCATGAAGAAAAATAACATCTCCCATGTTGTCACAAACGGTCCAAAAATATCTGTGCATACAAGTCACAAACACAGCTTTGGAACGTCTTGAGCACCGCAAATAAAACTTCATAAATCAAATAATTTATCTGAAAGCTTTACTTATGAGGATTATTTTCCGGTTTTCTTCTTGTTCTTATTCCGTATGGACACATTATCGTTAGATTATTCATTTATTTATTTTGAATGCACCAAGTTGCTCAGAAAGGCCATAAACTGTGGTTTGTTTATACAGAAGCACATATTTGCTATTTTGTTGTTTCATACTAAACTGAGTATGTAAAGTAGATAAACACTGGAACGACTATAAACTTGGTTAAACTACAAGAAAAACGCCAATCTTTGTTTCCCTCCCCGCCACTATGGTTATTATTTTTAACAAATGTGTTTACTGAACATAGGTTGCTACGATTCTGCCTTTCAGTTATAAGTTTGAGAAAATAAATCACTGCTGGGCATGTAGACACCCTGAGAAAAAAATATAAGCTTTGTTTGCAGTTGGAAGGAGTTTGTGTACACCATTGAAAATAGCATTGTTTATTCTATGGGCTGCATCCTTAGGCTTCAAACAAGCATTGTTAATTGTAACAATACTTCTAAAGAGCATTTTAACAAACCCCGCCCCCACAAAAAAACAAAGACCAGCGAAAGGCTCAGCTCGTTGATGATCGACAATCAAACTTTAATAAGTATTTCTCCAAACTGATTTTTTTTAAAATTTATGGATACCTATTTCAATATTTACACAAAAAATATTAAATGATCTAATGTTCTTTTATAGAGTAACTGAGAAAAAGAACCTGATATTTACCATTAGCTCATTAGTCAAACTCTCTCATTGCATTGTCAGTTTCATAGCAACATGCTCCTGGTAATACCTAAACTATTTAATCAAAACCATGTTACCTCAATCTATCAATCCATATTTTGGACTAATTATTTAATGCTGTGTTTATTCTATTACTTCCTTATAGTGCACTGTAAAAAATAAAGTCCACACTTATCTTGAAAAACCTAATGACAATCTCATGATCCAAAGCAATAAAGGTATAAAAACATGAGCTCCCTTTAGGTTAAAGGTGGATACTTGACTTGGATCAATAAAAATATTGCAGGAGTTTTAATCATGAATACAGAAAATGAAAGGTCTCACCTTCCCATCTTGCATCTTTATCTCGAGGATGAATGGTGTAGTGTGTGGTGATGCGGGTCGTCGACACTGAAGAGCAGGTCCTCCTGTGTATACTAGAGTACAGTTGTGGGGCTGCAGGGTCTTTCTGTAACGTTGTCAATGCCCTGATACATCTGTGAGCTGCAAAAAAGGAAGCATGTTCCAGTTCAGACCAGTTCTAACAGGTGGGAATAGGAGACCTTGAACTGGCTAAGACCGGGCTGACTTGATCCTCTGAGGGACACTAAAATCAGCTCCATGGGACAAATAAAGCTATCTACAATTGTGAGTTGGAGTGGCTCTGTTATGTTTATTCTGATTTGTTGTTCTTACAAATTTTTGTTGATATTATTTCTGGGTTGAGGCTTTACAGGGAAGGAGGAGTTCAAGCCATGTATTCCATATGTTATGTTGGGCAAGGACTTCAACTTCTCTTTCCCTGGCTTCCTAAGCACACAGTTTGATAGAGATTTAAAGGAAATTGAAAAAAACAGATTGATTAGTATCAGCTCTGCTGTCAAAATACTGAGATTTTACAACAGTCTTGAGACTGGCATACAGCAACAGCCTTTAGTCAGAAGCTTCTTCAGATTAGTTGCAAGACTGACTGCTACCAAAGATACTTCCAGCCCGTAGCATCAACATCCATAACAACTCTCTGAAGTTACTTGGATAATATGATTTATGATATTCATTTTTTCTTTATGATAAATTATTTTTAAAAAAATCTCTGAGCTATATTTGTTTGCCTAAGAAGAAGCAAGTGTAGTTAGCAAGCAGCTGTTAAACAGATGTAGAAACATCGATTTTGCATCTCCAGTCAAATGCAAATACTCATAATAACTTTGCAAAGTTAATTCACACGTATAACCTGAAAATATATTAATAATTCACAGTAGATATTTTTACCCTACTTCCTGTGACCTAAATAACCGATTCAACTTTCACCTACATTAGCTTTGCGCTAGCAAAAATGAGCATGCTAAACCAAGCTTTTTTTTAAAAAAAAAAAAACACGAGAAAATTAAATTTAAAAAAAGCTAGACAAATTACATTAAAGTATCCAAAACGGTCGAGGAAGCATTTAGTTTAACTTTTAAAGTTGATCCTTTTTTATTATTTTTATGATATATAACTAAATCTCAACCTGTTAGCCTAACGGCTAAATTAGCTCATTTACCTTTACAAGTGTATCTGCTGGCTGGAAACATCCTCTGTCCGCTACGCTGAGCCACCAGAAGACAGCGGCTCCTCTTCTAGAGTCAGAACAGCAATTCTGTGTTCAATTCGAACTCGGTCCAAACGTTATAAAACTCCCAGCCTGGCAAACAAGTAGTGACCGCAGAATCTGCCTTACCAAACAACGTCTCATAACAGCGCAACGTGTGAACGTCATACGCTGCGCTGCTGCGTTTACGCTACACATATGGAACTGCGCATGTGTAGATCTGTACATACTTCACAGCGCACAAAATAAGGTTACATTTGAAAATCTTCGGATTCAGATTAGATTTACTTTGGTAAATTTATGACATGACAAAAAAGGAAGCCAAATAAATGGCTATTTCATTAATCAATAATTTACAAAAAAAAAAAAGAAAAAAAAAGAGAAAGAAATAGGCTAAAACTAAGGCTTTTATTGCTTCCCCTATCAGGTGTGAGTGTGTTTCACACTGTTAATGTTTTTACTTGACTATGCTTAATGCATGAGCTTTATGGAAATTGGAGGCTGAATTAGAAAATTATGGCTTGATAGGTGCTGGGGGTAGAGAATAAATAGCTATAGACTATTTATGTAGTTCCATTTGTATAAACTTTTTTGTGGATTTACACCATGCTTTCTACTTTTACCTAACTAATATAATTCTGAAATAACTACTACTGTGAATAACTTCACTGAATAAACAGAATTGAGATTTTGACCAAAAATGTATAAGTTCCAAACCTACAGTTATGTTAAAATCAGACCAATTTAAACATAAACAATGTCTACTTGCTGAGTACAAGTCTAAGTCTAAGTCTGAGTCTAAGTCTAAGTCTTCTCAGTGAATAAACCATAATCAATAATCATTATCAAAGGCTATTTATTTGTATAATTTTCTTTGTTTTAGAAATCTAAATAGATAATTTTTTATGTAACTTTACATTTTAAAGTATAAATTGCCATCAATATTTATTAGTATCAAGTAGCATTTTTCACTCTAGCAATTTCTTGGAGGGCTTTTCTTTTTTAAATTTTTGAGTGAAATAGATTGAAGTCGAGCTATGTTGAAGAATAATTTTATGGAATTCTACCAACTTTGGCTGATGGCAATTTTTCTTATTCAAATTATTCAAATACACATACTTTTGAAAACTTTTCATCTTAAAAATGTCATTAAAAATTTAATCAATTGTAAGAACACTGGGAATAATATATCTAATTTTAGTTAGTGAAGTACACTAAAGTAAAAAGGGATTTATAAACACACTTTAAATGGAATGGATAAAAAGACTCACTCACTGCAGAGTTTAGCTGAACATAATTGTCTATCTTTACACAGATATGACCTTAAATGACATCCCATTCTTAATCCATAGGGTTTAACATAATGTCCCCTGTTTTGCAGCTGTTAAAACTTCAGCATTCCACAAGGCTTAGGAGTATGTTTATGGAAATTTCTGATCTTCCTCTTCTAAGAGTTCATTTGTGAGTTCAGACACAGATGTTGGACAAAAGGAAACAGACCCATTCCAATTCATCCCAAAGGTGCTTTGTTGGGTTGTAGTCAGGACAGGCCAGTAAAAATCCTTCCCAACAAATTGTCTCATCTATGTCCTCGGTTTATGCAGTAGTGTCCAGTTGGAACAGAAAGCTGGCAACCCTGAACTGTTCCCAAAATGTTAGGAGCATAAAACTGTTCCACATTTCTTGGTCTGAAGAAGTTTCTCCGCCTGGAGCTAAGGGTCAGAGCCCAACTCCAGCAAAGAAAGCAGCCATACAAATTATTCCTCTCTGTACCGAAACTTTACTGTCACAATGCATTCAACTAATTGTGGTTTGTCATTCTGACAACTCCCAAACTCTAGTTTGTTTACTCCACTGCCAGACCGAAAGGTGAAATTAGTCACTGCACGTCTCTTCTGCTGTGGAGTCCAGCAGCAGTGTGTTTTCCACTGCACTTGGTCTGCACTTGGTGATTTAAGGCTTTGAAGCTCTTGTTCAATCAAAACACATTCAGGGACATTCTCTGTACACAGCTGTGGAACTAATCTGAAGGCCACATGAAGCTTTGAGGTCTGCAGCATCTAATTCTCCAGAAAGTTGCTGATCTCTGTGCACCTCAGCATCCACTCACCCTATCTTGGACTTTTGAAGATATTTCTAAACTACTTGATCATAGACATCAATTAGATCTATAATTTCAATACACAGGATTTACATGAGATTAATTGGAGGTTTGGCAAGGAGGACATTTTGGAAACATTCATCATTAAAGAAAAAAAAGTTCAGGTTTTACTTTATAAAAGTTTCAGATCTGAGCCTAAAAGTCATTATCTGTAGTGAAATTATTTTTTCCTCGGATTCTGTCTCAGTATGATAGTATAATTTCTTTCATAAGAATGCAACTTGCTCATATGTGCAATTACTTTACAAATTGAAATACTTTTACCTATGAAAAGTAATTACTTGCCCTTAAAGCTTATCAGTTTATGCAGTCACTTGTATCTGCTCCACATGAAACCTAGTTGATGTTAGCTTCACATGTGAGATTTTACATTTCTGATAACCTCTTTGTGTTTTCAATTGCAGCAAAGTTCTTAACTTTTCTTTCATTTTTACATGAGGTAAAACCATATTTTTTACTGATAAATGCACTAGATTATATCAAAGAAAAATTTAATGAATCACACTAGATTTTATTCCACAATAAGCATAAAAATTACTGCTACTCACTTGGCATTCTAATAGTAACCATTAATTTATGAAATTATATTAAATTTTGTGATGCTATGGTTGTCCTCAAATGTGGGGTTTGCATTTTGTAATGCTATACTCTTCCGTTTTTAAATGATGAAAACAAATTACTGGCAGAAAACCTATTTTAGTTTATTATCTCTAATTATTCACTCTCAGTGCAGATTTTCATTAAGACATAAAATAAATTTTTTGGGTCAGCTCAGTAGTGGGACACATGCCCCGTGGGCTTGACAGCATCTGTGTTCTAATAAAAACTTCCCCTAATTTAACAAGTTATATAATCTACTCAAAATTGCAATCGGCGAAAGCTGCAAAGCATTTGGGATTTTCCATGTCGATAATGTCAACATCATTTTGAAAAGTCTTGGGGGGCAAAAAAAAAAATAACATGATTTAAACTACATACATGTTTTCTTGGGGTGAACTGCTTTGAGATGCTGATTGGAGTGCTGCTAGCAAACATGAAGCAATCCCTTCAGTAACAATCTCATGTTGAATGTGCAAAATGTTTATTGCTTTCTATTTTTATTCTTTGGCACTTTGTTTTACTTTTGTAAATTTATGTTTCTAAAATTTTCTAATCAAAATCTACACTTTACTCCATTGGTTTAACTCAACACCTCCCTCATCTTGCATGTAAAGATTGAATTGCCTTTTAATTCTCAATAGAAAAAAGCTATTTATCTCTATGATCTATTAAGGGGTAGCTTTCATATTTAAAAAAGGAAGCACACATTTACGCAAAAGATTAAATATCCAAGTGTCTGCTTCAGTGAAAAAGGATTATTTCAATTTGTTCAAATGTGTCAGAAAGGCTAATAGATTAATATAAATCATCCTGCTGTTTCACATCACTGCACACTTTGTTTCAGCTTTAAAATCTAAAGTTAAGTGACCTTTTCACAGCCTAATATAATTTGTGCTTTGAGTGCCACATGCTTTCCATTTTAGTAAAGAAAAGGACTGAGAAATCTAACTCAACACAGAAATAAAAAAACAGGAATTCACTTAGGAGTTCACAACTGTATTTTATTGTACAGAACTAGTTCTTTTACAAATGCCAGTATGGTACTTCACAGTGTAAAAAATGTGTTGTGATGTTGGGGTTTGTGAGATGAAGATCAAACCCCCAAACCAGCTGGGGGTTTAGCTTAACAGGATGTAAAAAAATGCTTCTTGTGTTGCAACAACTGACACACAAAACTTATTAATTTAATTCCTGTCCAAAATAAGTACATTCCTTGTTGAACACAAAGAGACTGTTATATTACATTCAGGAAATACTAATTAATAGTATGAAAGGAGAAACAAAGCTTTCTGCTAACTGAGCATGAAATATAATAAAAGGCTGCATTGATTATTTTTTAGAAAGTCTTTGAAATGTTTTTTATATTTCTCTAAAATTGAGAATGAAATGCATTGTGGAGAGCCTGTTAATTCTGAAAAGGGAACTTGATTGAGTGATTAACCCTTTCAGTTGTTTGATAGTACTATTCAGAGACTGATTGGACAAGAATCTAATTGTCAAACTAAGCATAATTTTTTAATGAATCATTGATGCATGTCCACTTGAAATTTTTAAACATTTGCTTGTAACAGAATGAACATTTGTAGTTATAATTATTCATGACACTAAGACAGCTATAAAAGACATGAAAAAAGCGAAAACTAAAAGGACAGGACAGACTCTGTTCATATATACAGTACAAAATGTGTGAAACATATAAGCATGTTTATCTTAGCCGTAAACAGGATCATTCCACTAAAAGAGAATAAAATGTTTTTTCGCCCTAAAATTGTGACAAATACATTGGGAACCAGACAAAAGCACAATATTCCTCAATACAAACTGAAAATAATTTTAAAAATCCCAATTTTCTTCTTTTTTTGATGCCACAAATAACATTTTTAGACTGCACATCATAAAGGGAGATGTGCTTTGATTTTCCTACCAGTTTTCAGTATATCTGCCTATTTGACCCAGCTTTAAAGGTAAACAATGAACAGCAGCAGATGAACACAAACTGCTGTTACTTTTGTTTTATTTATAACACCCGACCGAGTTGCAGGATAGAAAGTAATGAGATTCTTTATTCTCACCCTGGCAGAGATGTGTTGTTAGTGCTGTTTGTTGGATGGCTTGCTGACATAAATATAAAATGCATTGTCAACATGTAAAGATAGGTCAACTCCAAATAAACACAATAACCATAGTATATCTGTGTTGTAGTTGTGATTTGACACCCTACGTGTGCGTATGTGCTGATCAGAATTGGAAGAGGTGATAATTATTTTTTTGTCAGGTTTTGGTTAAATGTGAGCTCTAGATTAGTTATTTCAGAGCCTGTTTCTGCAGTACTAGGTAGAAAAATAATGGAAATACTGGATGAAACATACCTAACAAGCTCAGTGCAATTCTGATTAATATTGTAGATATAATACTGTCATGATAGAGAAAACAGAGCAGCTGCCGTTTTCAGGTCTGGGAGTTTTTATTATCAGGACACAAATGATCTGATCTTTAAAGGTTCTGAAATTGATTAACTGTGATTTTAAATGTACAATTCAATTGTCAAATTCCTGAAACAAAGACAAAGCAAAAATTATCTTTTTTTTCTTTAAAAAAAGCAAAAGAGATATATATTTTTTGCTTTTTTATAATGCAATGTATTATAAAAAAAACAAATAAATGTAAATACATTCCTGCTTCTTACATTTTAAAAGAAAGTTGCAGCCAGTTTATTCACTGATCATCAGAATGTGTAACCACATTCTGAACACAGTGTAGGAGATATTTTAGATTTTTAATTCATTTTTTAGCTTTAGCAATATTACATTGTAATTAAGGTCTGGATGTATCTTTAAGGAAGCTGGCAGTATTATTACATAGTTGTTGCATGATGGGTTGATGAGGCACCTGATGTAATGGCCTGGAAGAGGCAGGCCCAGAGACTTGGAACCCTTTCATAAGTGCTTACAGTTCTAATTTTCCTTTATCTAAGTATTGGTATTAATACCTAAACTGAGTCAGAGAGCAATAATGTCCTCATTAACTGCATTTAATTTTGAATGAAGAAGATCTTGGGGCTGGATAAAATCAGAGATGAACTATGGAGACTTCTGCAACGTATATGTTATCTTTTCTTCGGCTCTCTTCCATGTTTCCCTCTCCGTCATTCACTTTTCATTCAAATAAACAGTCAGGCCAAAGCAAGACAGAAGTGGGAAGATGACCTAAAATCACTGTTGTGGTTTTTAGCAGAGAAACCAAGAGCAGGCTTGTGCTAAGTTGGCGTCTCTGTCAAGCTTTTGAATAGGCGTGTGCATCATAAACATGCAGGATCACAGGGCAGATTCTGGCCATCATGGGGCGAGAGCCAGAGTACTCCCGGCTCAGGATATCAGACACAGAACAGCTCAGAGTTTATGGTTTAATTCTGGTTATGTGCAGACAGAAGATCTAAACAAAGACTCCACTGTATGGATCAAATGTGAGGCCATCTCTCTCTGATACCTGAGGTTTGGCTGAAATGCATTCATAAAACTGAAGAATAATCTCAATAATAAAAGCAAACATAACCACGAAAGGTTGTAAATGAAAATAACTGAGGAGCTGTGGAACCTAAAAGAAGCTGTACACCATCAAACGTTTGCAAACCTCAATGGACTTTAGTAACATTATAAAGAAAAAATAGATTTCATCTAATATATTATTTCTACAAGGGTCCAAACCATGAGGTTCATAAATAATGACAGAGAGAAATTTCTTTCACATTTTATTTATACTTGACGGTAGATTTAAATAAATTTAGAAGCTGGATGAATTTCATTCAGCCTAGAAGCTGAAATGAAACAGGGTGAAAATATTTTAAGAAGTTCACTTATTCATTTCTTTTAAAAGTTAATAATCGTAATAAATCAGCAAATTTTGATTGCTTTGCTAATTGGATTGTGCATTGACAAATGAATGGCCTTTCTGATTCTTCCTCTATGTATTCAGCTCAACAGCAGGAGCTGTCAGAACTGCTCTCAGAGTATTTGACAAGTTTGAATTGTAAGATGAACAGTTAAAAGCACAGACTTAGACGGCCAAGAGCCTTCAGCTGTGCGGATGGCACTGTGGTTTTTTTCAATCAGCACAGGTTTGGAGAATGTTTTATTCTCAAAATGTGTCCGTAAAAGTCAGGAACGTCAACCTTGGGCTGTTGCTACATTACATGTCTTGATGGAAGACTGACATCAGCACTTTCTATCTCCAGGACGAAAAGTCAATTCTGTTTAGAGTAAATGTATGTATAACAATCTTTGCAATTACCAAATCCATGCTGTAGTGTAGCTACATGAAATAGGAATGCAGCAGACATGTAGCAACCCGAGGCATGTCATCCATTCAGCAGATAATTTATTTATTTATATATTTTCTGTTAGATAACAGCAGGTGGAATATAGCTGTCATCTCAGTGGTTCTTCAAGCAAACAAGTTTAGCTGGCCTGGTTTAGGAAACTGCAATAATGGCACTGAGAATCCATGTGCTGTACTTCCTCTGCAGGTGACCTTTCATGTGTATGAAGCCAGGGTGCCTGTCTTTGCTCAAGCTTCCTGCTGGGAGCAGAAAAAGTGTTTCCACACACACCGAGAAGGTCCATATTTACATCAGTGAATACACGGGAAATCTCTCATCTTGAAGAAATTGAGAGCAGCCACAAATGAACATCTACGAAATAAAATGGATTTTTTGCATCCACAGTGATTCACAAACCCACTTGTGGAGAAACAAACTCTGCTGAGAGGGACCCACTTGTGCATGAAAAGCAGTGACACATGTACATGCTTGGAATAATCACATGGGTTGCCTTAAAGCTAAACATCAGTGTGTTTGTATGCTTCTCACATTCGCACCAACAAATCCTCCTCTGTGTCTCCAGGAAACTTATTTTAGATAAACAGAAGGGTTTAAAATTTAGCATCACTCCATCTCACTTCCATTTTTACCCAAGACTCAGACAGTGGATGTAATTGAAGTATGTTACAATAATCCTGAAGTGCGTAACTTCTATGTCTGAGTGCTTAAAGTAATGGAGGGAAATCTCACAGGGCAGGTTTTACAGAACTAATTGTTAAAGTCTGGTAATGGCCTTCTCAGCTGCAGAAGCTTAAAACGTCAGTTCATAAAATGGATTTTTCTACATCAATTAGGCATAGCGTTATGACCATTTTTTGGGAGTTGTTGCTATCACAATTGCTTTAGTATAACCTGGACAAAGCAGGAAGCATTAGCTGCCATTCACATTAAAATTGCACAAACTGGAATTCTGAAAATAAATTTGCTTTAATGGAAACATGGCAATATTGAACAAAAAGGTTTTTCAGTAGCCTGAAGTAGAGTTTTTATTGTTTGTTTTTTTAGCTAATGCAATGGAAACACATTTTTTTCCTTTATTTTTTTGCATCACTGAAGGTCTCTCAGCATTAAATTCTTTAGAAAACTTTGAATTTGACTACCAGCTCCCCAAAACACAGCATATAGCCACTGCCAAACATAAGACACTTGATGTTCCAAAGCCTGAATAAGACACCAAAATCTCTGATGGCTGATGACGAGAAAACATGATCCATCAGACCAGAACATCATCTTTCATTGCTCCATAATCCAGGTCTGATACTCATGAGTCTACATGTTGGTTCTTTCAGCAGTGACAGGGATCACTGCAGGTACCCTAACTGGTCTAATACCTATGCAACTACAGTCAATGTGTATCTTATAGAGTTAGTTTGGATGTTGGGTGCAAATGTTTGGAGTCAGAACATAGATAAGAATGAAGAACTCAGACCTTATGTTCATCAGATGGCGAGACATCTCGATTATATGTTAAGGAAAACCCAGGCACATTATTATTACTCTGATTCCTTCTTTCTTTTTGTAAGTAGAGAACCCATAGGAGTAGATAATGAAACAGAAAGCATCTTAACAGCCTAATTATTCTGCTACACATCTCTCTATTTGTGCACTGCTGCAGTCAACAAAAGCTGCGCCACCAGAACCAGAGGCTACAGCAGGGAGTGGGAGCTACTTCTGAATCACTAATCTGTTTTACAGCAAAGCACAGCGACAATAAACAGAAACGCTTCTGTGAGGCCTTTAAGCCATTACACAGACTCAATGCATCACTGGCATCATAACCAGTCACTTTATAGAGTTCGAATATGGTGCGATAATGATTCCTGCCAAACTACTATCATGAGTTCACAATTTCTCTCATTTAATTGAAAAAATATTTGAATTTTTAGAAGAACTCTGGGGAATACGCAGTTTTTGGAAGCAACTGATATGAAACTAAGTCCCTCTTATGTCTGCTGTTCCAATTCTCCATAATCCTCTTTATCAATGTCCTGCATGTTTAAATAAATGTTTTAAGTTGGATAACAGAAAAAGTATGTTCATGTACTGTAAAGTTTAAACACATGATGCTTAGTTGAGCCTCAAATTCATATAAGTTGAATTTGCTGATATTCAGCGCTGAGTAAAAAGATAGCTATATTAGCACTGACATTTAGCAGTTTATCCTTGTGGAGGAAGTCAGCACTGTCTGCTGGGCAAATGTCAAGGACAAGAGTTCTTCATTATTTTTTGCCTGTAACATTAGATTATGTATTTAAAAAAATCGTTTTTTTTATTGGTGTCGATTGGCTTTCTCAGAACCTACATTTTGGATTATTATTAGCTGTAAGGAATGATTAAACAAATAATAATAATAAAATTGTTTGAATACACTGATTAATTTGCATGACTTTCTTATTCAGTATTAAACTGCTGAGATAAGTAAACTTATTAAATGACATTCTCATTTACAGAGATTAATCTAACTTGCATTTTAAAAAGTAACATTTGTAATGAAAGTCTTCATCTTTGATTTGTAAGTGAGGTGAGTTCTAGAGAAAATGGTGAGTAAAAAGTTTAACAAGGTAGTTATAAATTTTTGATAACTGTATTTACTGCTAAGCCTCATGAATGCTGCTGGCATGAGTTTTCACTTTAAATGAGAAATCTGTGCACAGATGTTTCATTGTTAATGAAATAATTAAGTTTCATTGTTAATGAAATAATTAAGAGTTTAAATGAATGAACCTGAAACGTTAATGTGGTTGAGGAGAATTATACAGACATACGAACAGATGCATTCTTAGTCACTTAGAGGAGGTCATTTGTTTGTGTGAACATGTGAATATGTGTGAGTGTTTGGGGTACCGAATTATTCTGCGAGCACACCGATAACACGGCATGCTGCTTCTGCTGTTGTTGTTTCGTGCTCGTATTAAAGTCATTGTAACCATTATCCGGATTCTCCACGGGGGTGAGTTTGGCTGCTGTGTCTTTCGCCTCCAGTGGACACCCTTGGCTGTTTTCCTGGAGGGGCCACATTTCCTGCCAGGTGAGCGACGGATGATGTGGCGGGTGACCGCTGAGCAAAGGCCTTTTCTGTCTGTAGTTTGCCCACACCTGGAGGATTGTTTCTTTGAAAGGCCGCGTGGTTAGCGTGTAGAGGATGGGATTCAGGGCACTGTTGATGGGGAGAATAAAGATGACGACCCAGGAACTGATGGTGCCTGCAAGGAAATGGAGATAAAAAAAAGTTGGGAGAACATAAATGTGGAACAACCTAACATGACATGAGGTGTGTTAAAAAGAAGGAGCTTCTTAAAGTTGCAGAAGCCAATTTCAAAAAGTCAGGTGCAAAGTCAAATTTATCTTAAGTTATATTTGATACATTTACATAACAACTGAAGGTAAAATAGTTACTTCATTGGGCTCTCAGCCTGAAAAATGCATTATATTGGTCCTTTATCAGCAATTCTTTGTAAATGGTGCCAGTTTATTTCCCTTTAAATGGGACAATGTTTATGAGAAAAATGCATGTGATTTGAGCAGGAAACCTTACAACATCTGGCAATGTGATGTGTGTGGTGGCATCTCCCACACTGGAGAAAAGAATCATCATCTCAATGCACAAAGATATCGAGATGAGTTTCAACCAGTGACAATCCCATATCTCCATTCTCAGGGACTGAACTCTTATCTTGTAAGATGTCCATGCTCCTCCAACACAGCAAAGTTTATCAGAGTGAGAGCAGAGGTTGGAATGACCAGCTTTCATTTCTGACCTCCACCCCAACAAACAGTTGTAGGATCAGCATTGGTGTGCTGTTTATGCAGAGGGAACAACACAAGCAGCAGCTCCTGGTTGAGAAATGGGATATCATCCTACAACAGTGTGCAACTGAGCTGGTGACTTGCACAAGGAGATGCCAGACTGTTGTTCCTCACACACAATACCAAGGCTCCTGTTTGTGGAATTAATGTTAAATTGCCAAAATGACTTGTTTCTCTGAACTTCCGTTACCCAGTCCAACAGACACCAGAAAATATTCCTGAGCAGGATGAGCAGGATAAGCAGTCTGACATGGGGAGAAAACCATTTGGCTATTTTTTCAGTAAACTACCCAAATCTTTCTTACAAATGTGACACAATTTAAGAGAAAATAATCAGGCCTTCCAACAATGCATTCTTTATTTCCAAGAACCTCTGTTCACTCAATATGATTTTGTTTGGATTATAACTACACCAGAAATAGACACCCAAAGTAAGGAAAAATCCAAGGAGCCTTGTGCATACAGCTTTCACTAAGCAGTTAGACATTATTCTTGCTTTTGAAGGTGACATTTATAGATACATTTTAACCTTGAAATTATTTTGCAAAACGTTTATTTCTGAAACTTAAATTGCCAATTTTTGTTGTCACTAGTGCTAAAACGCGTCACAAAAAATACTACAGACACAAGCTGCCAGCCACTTATGTTGTGCTGAAAGAGCATATTTAAGTGGACTTTAAGTGGGCATCTTTTCATTACCAGGAATTTCCACTTGCAACAGTGAAAGGATCTTGAGAACAAAAATGGGGATCCAGCAGAGGGAATCAGTGACGACAATAGAGAAGAACCGCTTGGCGATGGTCACTTCTTTTTTTATGTGGTTGCTGTACTTGGTGGTCTGAGTGCCTGTTCTCTGGATGTTATAGAACATACTTGCATAGGAGAAGACAATTATGAGGAATGCCACCAAGTTGAGACCTGTTGAGAGAGCACTGAGTTCAGATTTACTTCTTGGATATACAAGGTTTCTTAACATTTCAATTGTCAAAGATGATCAGTAGGGTTCTTAATATTGATGCAAAATACACAAGTGTACTATAAATTTGAATCAGATCTTTATGCAGGGGTAAATTTATAAACTTATGGGAAACCAAACAAAAATATGTATGTGTTTGCAAATGGTTATGGGACTAAAATATGTTTTAAGTAAATTTGGTTAAAAACATGGTTATGCAATAGGAAAAAGTAAACATGAAAAGAAATGCTCACCAAGAAAAATAACAATGGAGTACACGTGTGCCCAAGGCGTCTCTGGCTGTTCCGAGTGCAAAGGGAAGCAGACCCCATTGGTACCATAGAAGTTGTGAAATAAACCCTTGCAGGCCAGAGGCAAAAAGGCGATGACAAATCCAAACACCCATATCCCGAATAGAATACTGACAGTCCGTCGCCAGCCGGGAGTTAGGTAGTGGAACGGGTACACGATACAGATGTACTTCTCCAAGGTGAGATATGTGAGGAGAAGCACAGACACTTCGGTAGACAGCATAGCCAAAGAGCCAATGACCTGACACTGAGTGCTGTCCATCCAGGCTTGAGCATGACGATTGTATTCACCACGAAACTTCAGGTCATACACACCAATCATGAAGAGATAAATACCCATCAGGCCATCAGCACCTGCAAGAAAGAACAACTACTTTAAACTCCTAAATTCTGCCATTTGAGGGGTTTTGTAGTCTTTTTTAGCATTTGCTGTCACTTTTAGGGTGGACTTGCCCAGACCTGGGCATCTTGGCAGCTGGTTAAAAGTCCTTCACTTGTAGATTAATGCTCCAGACAGTGGAATGGCACATTTTCAGAGCCCTTCGAGACCTTGTTAGTTCTCTTACTAGACTCATATAATGCTCTGCTGCGATCCACTTTCTGAAGCCTGGTGTTTTGATTGTACCCTGGTGTTCACTCTCCTTTCTACAGTCATTAACACATCACACAAATGACTTTTTCACAAGCACTTAACAGCATGTCTAAAGTCAGCTAAACTCTAATTTATATTCTTTGAGTGATTTTCCATTAGTTTGAGAAACAGCTCTAGTGGGTGGGTTTCATCAAATAGTTGGCCAGTTCCAGAGTCGGAAAATGAGTGCGGATGGATCTGTATGACACAAGCACAATATGGAAGCTATGACAGTCACCGTTTTGAGTTTTTTAAATGTTTGGTTATTGTAAGAATCTCTCATAAAGCAAAGACTGACATCACTCCTCAGCCAATCAGTGGCCGACAGACTTGATGTAATGTTTTCAACTGGACTCTTTGAACCTAAGCAGTGGTAGAAAAACCACATCACCACATAAAGCCGGGTTCAGCTGTCCTGAGTTGATCCCAGTGGAAAAAGGTTGTAAATGTCTAAAGTTTGAACAGCAGGGGGACAGGCATGCTGGAAGTGTCCCAAGGTCAGCAATGCAATCCCAGACAACTGTGTTGAAGTGGGAATAAATGAGGGGATGTTCTAATTAACCTATTTTATAGAAATGTTTTAGAATATTATTGTTTCATGATTATTTTAATTTATAGGTCTAAAATTGATACTAGATTGACTAACTATAGAGACCACCTGAACATAACCTTTATCCAATGATTTTGAAAAGAAGAAAAAATTACGTATAGACTCAACTTGTCTATAAGCAGAAGATGTGCATATTGTGAGACCTTTGAGGTTTTCTTTTGAGTATTCTTTTCTACTATATGTAATTTACTTTTTTTTCCCAGTACGTCTAATTTTGCAAAAATAAAAAATAAAAAAAAATAAAAATAAAATAAAACCAAAGACTTTCAGGTGGTGTCCTAAATTTCTGTGTTATTTCATACAGCTCACCACCTTATCCACTATAAGCCTTGCTGAAATGTCAATGACAAAGAAATGGATGCCCTTTCTAAATAATTAGCATTTTTATTCAGACTAAATTAAACCTGTCAACTTGTTATCTTGGTGAAAAGATCAAAGGATTTATTAGAGTATGAAAATGTAGTCAAAGTAGAGTCCTCAAAACTTAAAACTCTCACAGACTGAAGTCATGAAGGATGAAGTCAGTGTGGAAAGAAGGTCATAAGAAGTCAGTTTTGAAAAGATATTTTAGAATCTTCAGCAGCAGTCTCTACTTATGCTCATGGCATATTTTGAATTTGATTGAGTAACAAAAAAACAAATAATCTAGACAGAAACAGGGCGTTACTCAGTGGTGGGCTTTGATTTTCTTAGTTAGTTACTGATTTATGTCATGTTTCAGACACAAGTTGATTTTCTATATAACTCCATTCTGCAGAAATGAGTAAGCAATATGACATAAAAAGATGCAAACATATTTGCAAACTAGGCAAATCAGGCTGCTAATGCAAAACAGAAAAACCATGTTATTCTTGTTCTATACCAAAACAAAATCTAATAACAATAATTGCTTTTGTTTTAATACAAACATTTTTAAAAAAATAAAGTAGCAGTTTTTGTATTCTGTTGAAACGTGTTCTTGTGTTGTTGAGGTTAGTTTAGTACAGGACTATCCATCTGAACAAAAGTGTCTTATTACCTCCCTGGACAATGTTTTCCTCCATGTTTATTCCTCATTGCCCTTGGCAATTTATTAAAATGTTTTCCTGTCACGATCAAGGAACAAATTGCAAATTTGGAAGTCAAACTCTCTAATCATAGAGTCACTTTTTAATGTTCAGATGCACAACAAAAACGACTCTCTGGGAGTAATTGCTTCATTATATCAGCACACCATAAACTATCACAGATGATGGCTAAATATCTCCACTAATAGTTGAGTATCAAATTATATACCAAATAAAATACCAAATATTTCAAATGAATGTAAAATCTCACAACAGCAACTATCTTGGTGCCCTGTTCACAAGTGATGCCAAGAACCAGAAATGGACAGACAGATTGGGTCTTTGTCTAATGTAATGTGAGCATCAGTTGTAGAGAAGAGTTGACAAGATCAGCAAAGCTCTCAATATACCAGTTCCTCACAGTTCAGACCCTCACCTATGGTCATGAGATATGGAACAAGACACAAAGAGTGAGAGTGGATGCAAGCCACTTGCATCCAGCCATGGACCAAATCAGTAGAAGGATGGCTTTGCAGAACATTAATGTGTTTGAATGGCCCAGTCAAAGCTCAAACAAAATCCAATAAAAAAGTTTAGCAAGACTTGATTGTTGTCATAGGTATGCAAAGCTGGCATACTCTTGAAGACTTGCAGCAGTTATTAAAGCAAATTATGGGCCATAAAGAATTGAATCTGGGGGTTGATAGAGATTTCCATCACCTTTTTGAGCCCATTACGTTGTCCCAAGAGTCACTCAATGTGCAATTATTCATGGATGAAATTATAGAGGTCACATTTGACCCGACGCATTAAATATGACCACTGAAGATGGTGACGCAGTTTTCTTCTTGTTGCCTCAAGGATAATTATACATCATATTTTCAAGTTCCTCTTACACTTTCTTAGGGAATAATGTTGATAACTGACCTATTTTCTTTTTCAGGTTCCTCCAAGCAGAGTTGTCTTATTTTTCTTAGATTCCAGTCCCACATGTTCATCCACTGGTGCAGTGTGAAAACTAATTACTCATATATTCTCCATCTGTTGCTGAACTTCCTGCCATCTGAATGGCTTCAGTCAAAATCTGGAGTTTATATCCAACTGGAAAATGTTACCACTATTGTCATTTTATCTTTTGTTTTACATAAAGTACCACTTGAATACAGTGCCAATACAAATTTTTAATGTATTTCTTTTGGATTTCATATGAGTCTCAACACAAAGTAGTCCATAGTTGTTAATATGGTATTAAACATTTTGTACTGATTAAAATCTGAAAAGTTTGGCGTTCACTTGTATTAAGCTTCTGTTGCAAATTCTCCTGTTATTTGGGATAAGTCTCTACCAGCTTTGCAACTTTGCAGTAAAAATGTTTTTTGCATTCTTTTCAAAATACCTTTAACCTTATTGTCTGTAAAATTTATATGAAATATATTAACATTTGTGAAATGTAAAAAAGAAAAAAAATCTCTTGAATAATGTTGCAAAATTAATCTCAGAAAGTTATTAAAAGGGATCTATAATACATTTGACTTATTAAATAAGTACAAATCTCAACATTTTATTATTAATTCTATGCAGTATTGAGATGTGAAGATTTAAAGCGGAAAACAGCAGAACTGATTTAGTCCGTGCCAAACTGGGATCTCTCGGAGGATCTTGGCTTCTGGTACAAGGACATTGTGTTTACATGTTTTTTGTAGAAAAAGAAAAAATGTAAAAACCCAACAGGGAAATGTTTTCAGTGAGTAAAAGACTTCAGTCAAAGATGAATGTGGCTGAATAGATGAAAATGTCTTTCAAGCTAACTTTTGATCCAGATTTGAATACAGATCAAATCTGAGTTTCTACTTTGCCTGCTAACTTAAATCTGTTTATCCCTTTATGTGCAGATCATTAGCTCTTTGTGGACATGTTGTTTGCATATGAAAGTACTTAATCCACTTCTGGTAAAAAGACTAAACCATTTTAAAGCTTCACCTTAGCTTTTTTCAGCCAACTCTAAAGGAATGAAGTTTTAAAGATCAATGTGTTAAAGCAACTAGGCTACAAATGTATTGAAATGAAAACAAATTCAAACTTGGTTGACACCTTTCATGGTATTTTTGTCATGGGTATATTAAACTTTTTGAGAAGAGTTTTTGCCCTTCAATCTAGGTCACAGTGGGAGCTGTGGTCCTGTGGGGGGGTCACCATGAAGACGAAGAGCAAGGAGGGTCTTCGAAAGTTGGAACTAAGAGGACAAAAAATACAAAATGGGCAAGTTTTTGAAAAGAAAGAAATGAAGCCACCATCTAGCAGCCCACCTGTGGAGAACACTGCTTCAAAAAACCCTCTGAAATTATTGCCAGCTAATGTCAAAAATTATGAGGCAGCATTTATGCTAAACAAATGTAACGACTATAAATTTTTTGAATAAAAGTGCGGAAAAGAAACGTTCTAAAGTTGATATTTCTTTACATATTTTGTAGTAATGTCTGTGGATTTGCAAAGGGCGTCCCTGGCCAGAAGTTAATGATGTTTGGAGGGCCAAGGTAGGGAAAGGTTTGGGAAACCTATGATTTTATAGTTTATTGTATAACTTGAAGGCTGTAACATATTTTGATTAAAGTAAAATGTGTTGTGATGTGACAGTTTATACGATGTCACATCACAGCAGCAGCAAATTTGCTCTTCAATCTGAAATATTTCCCGAGAAATAATCCGCCTTTACTGTCAACTCTGTTTTCCTCAGTTGTCAGTCTGGAGTTCATTTTAAATGGCCATTTTAAAAAAACAACTATTCTGATTCTCCTCATTAAATCATGAAACACCCAAGAAGTCCTCATCTGATGCTGATAACAAATGCCACTGCATTCGCAAGCATTCTGATGAAATCTTGTGTTGAGCTGTGAGCTACCAAAACACAGACATGTCTTAATTTTTGTAAGGATTCAGGGAACATGTTTAAGAGTTGGGGCATGTTACCTCTGCATTGCATCACCTCTTCTTTTAATGAAGCGCTTTAACCATCTTGAAAATGTCAGGGACAATATGTTGAGTTTTGAATGTTTCGTCATTTTCTCTGTCTTTCTAACAGACTTTAACTTACTGCTATATAGATGTTAGTTTAAAAGCTGTCCACCTGGAACACAAAATGTATCTGGCACCGTGTTGCTGTAAAAGTCACCAAGACAACAGCAAACTGCATATAATGGTGAGGACTAATGTTGCACGACATACTCATGGCCACTCATCTTCTCTTCTTGGATTCTCCTGTGCAGTTACTCTGTCTTGTAAGTGTATTTACGCACCATAAACATTTTTCCCATTTTGTCGCATTACAACAAATATCAACATATTATTAGGAAATTATGGAACAGATGAACATAGGATATTTGTGAAAATATCCTGTATGGTTTTATGGTTCTTTTACTACACTGAAAAGTAGTGGGTGCAAATGCATTTAGCAACTTTCACTTTGATGTTCATTTATAACATCCATATTTTACTGTCACAACATAAAGAGAGTTTTAAGTAATAAATAAAAAATCTAAAAGATGCTGCAGCTTTGAAAAGACTACAACTTTTCTTGGTCAGGAAAGTGTGGAGTTTTTCTCAGCTCACCATGAGTCAAGAAAAACAAATGATATACTTGAAATCACAGATTCAGCTATAGATTGTTGATATTTGAATGTTTCTAGTGCAGAGATGTTGCTAAAAATATTGCTTACTTTATTAGACATCAGTGTAGAGCTCTGATGTTTTATGACACTTGTCCTCAGTTGATTCAGTTATTATCACACCTAACATACTAATTTGTTGTGTGACACCGTATCTAAATGTGAGATGTTTGAACTGATTGATGCATGGATATATTTTTTTCCTTTTTATGGTGATATTTAACTTAATTAGCTTTTTTATTGCCCTGGTGCCAGCTTTCTACCCCCAGCTGTTTTCTCACTCCTCTTCCTTCATGCAATATTAACAAGGTCATGTAAAATTATCAAGCCAAAACGTGGTAGAAAATTGGAGCATAAGAGCATAGGGGGGAAAACATAAAATTTTAATATGTAGAGGGACAGTTTTCACTTACACAGCCTTGGTGGTAGATGTATCCAGAATATATTTAAAAGATTTTGTTGGCATGGAGTTAAAAATAAAACTAATATGAATATTGGTTTGTATTCATGGTTTGAACATTTGCATGCTCATTGCATTCATATAAACGTTTTATGAAGCATCTCAGCTTTTCTGGAAACAAAACTCAACGTCTTAATCAAGAGTCCGTATTAATTTAGTTGATGAAATTATGAGTTGAGAAATCCCACCAGTGATTTATCTTTTTCCATTTAATTATAACAGTGTGGGAAGCTTTCAGATTTGTAGTTTTGAGAAATATAAGTACACTTTGGTTTTTTATCTTTACTGTAGTATTTTTTTTTATTTTCACTGGTTGTGGGTTATTATGGAGGGTGATCAAATGAATGGGCAACTGATATCAACGTCACTCAGTATAAATCTGAGCAGAAAAAGTGTAGTTTTGGACTGTAGTGGTCTAAGAAATCATTCTTCACTGTCCACCTGTGGTTCCCACAAAGTAATGTTTGCTGTCCATAAAATTGTAACTAATTGCATGACATTTTCTAACACATTAGAGTTTCTGAAATTAATTAAAACTACTAGCCCTAATATAAACATCTTGGGTTCACAGGTAAAAAACTTAAGTCTTAACCACATCCAGATCCTCCAGACAGGTCAACCAAAAAACAAACTCTAGGAAGTTGAAAGTGTGCCAGGCTGCACTACTGACATATTAACATAGAATGAATAGTCACTGCAAATATTTATGCCTTGCATAAACTTGATATAATTCATAATAAATCCTGTGAGGCTTATTAAATATTTTATACCAGAGAAACACAACGAAACATGACTATACATTATGGCATTAGAAATACAGTCAGTCTAAAAATAAATAAATAAAAATTCAGACAGAAACTTCAAGTGACACTTTGTACTTTCTGAAGGTTAAAAGGCTCCATATCCTTCTCCCTTTGTACAACACTCCCTCCCAAATGACTGCTGCTTCCCTGGAAATGCAGTTTGACTCACAGCAGAGGGAGATGATGCACATGGCGTGGAGTTTGTTCTCAGAGCGGATATACGAGCGCATGCAAATGACAAAGATGTTGCCAAAGCATGTGGTGGCAGAGACAACCCAGACAAAAACCCTCAGGACGATGTTGGCCAGCAGGTCCTCAAAAGACGAGATGCCATCTGTGTTGGGCTTGCAGCTGCGCACGTGAGGGGCATAGCCACAGTACTGGAACTTCTTGAAATAGCTAAGAAAACAGACAAACAACAATAAAAAAGCAATCTAATGCTAAGGCAGGGGTGTGTCTTCACTTGCAGCCTGCAGTGGTCTATCCACAGTATTACCCTTAGTGTCTATTTGTGCATTTAAACTGGAAGTTAAGGAAGAACAGAGATCTCATTTCAGTCAGACTGTGTAGTTCAGGAGGTGGAAAAAACTATTTGGATTAAAAGTGCACCTTTTGTTCTTATAAACTCTTGTTGGAGAAAGCCGGCAGAGATTTAGCATCAGTCATTTATCAAAACTAAAAGACCTGAAACCCAACCAAGCATTAAGCTCTGGGTTCATTTATTTTTAGGTGTGGGGTGTTGACACAGCTCTGCTTTCTTCACAGTTTCTCTTTGGCCTGAATGGTAACGAGTAGCGCTTAAAATCGCCTTAATGAAAAGCAAAAGGAAAATCAATGATTATCTCTCAGATCCTCAAATTACTCAATTTGGACTATCGATTGAAATTATATTAAAAAAAAAACAGCAACAATGCAGAGTTCTGTATGTAATGCGCTAAATATTACATTTAGTGTGCAAATATTTGCAGAATGAATTGGTCCACATTTTATAAAGATACTAACCCAAATTTCAATTAAAATTTTAGAACATAAGTTTAACTTGGCCTGTCTGATGTGTTCCTTGGTTTTCATAATGTCGTTTGTTCTCTAATGATCTCTAACAAACCAGTGAAGCCTTCACAGAACAGTTAGATTTACACTGAGATTACATTACATGGGCAACTGGTTGTGAAGAGTTTTATTTTTGATTAAGAGGGCTGAAAGCATACTTTATTTTTTTAACAACCTACAAAATATTTTCTTTCCACTTCAGTATTGTTTACTGCTCTGAATTGGTCGGATACATAAAATGTATTTTAAATAAATTAAAGTTTTAGAATACATGTCAAAATGTCAAATGTTTCAAATCTTCAGTCATTTCAAATGCAGGTGAGCAATGTTCAAGATAGAGCTTGAACATTCAACCAGAAAAAAAATTAAATATTAAAGTTTTGACACCAAGTGATGCACCAGGATGTAAATTTGGGTTAGTATTAATGTCTGACGTTATTATTGCTGTTGTGTCCGATATCTGATAGCGTACCCCACAATGCACTGCTTCACTATCATTCTCACATGACCAACAAAACTGAAAAGAACATTGTTTATTCAAGTAGAAGTTTTATCTATCAGGCAATGTGGTAAAAATGAAGAAAAGTAAAAAAGGAACTTATTCCTTCCACGAATTCATGAATTATGCATCTTTGCCCTCTGAGAGGTTCGATCACCTTAAAGCTGGTTTAATTATCTCCCAGATGGATTTAAAGCTGAGGCCCATTAAGGTTAACCTGTGACTCGGTCTTATCAGTAGATTATGTGTGAAAAAACGAAGGTCTCCACAGAGCATGATGACGTTGTACTTACATGTGAGTCAAGTATCTGAGAGGTTCAAACATCCTTCGCTGTATGTTATCAATTTCTATTCCCTCTATGCTCCTGAGAAACATAAAAGCATGGATTTTGTTACAAATTCTGAACAGTGAACTACAGACCTGCAAAAAGAATGTGCTCCTATGGACTTCCTCTGCCGATGCTTTTCTTGTCAAACTTCAGATCAAACACAGATCAAATCAAATTCAGATCAAACACATTTTATTATCAATAATAGATTTTAAAAAGCATGTTTCAAAAACGTTATTTTTTTAGCAATATGGAGGTGAATTTGCGCTGTGTTCCGGATTATTGTCCCGGCAGTCCTTTATGCTAGAGCTAATTAATTGTTTCTGCTTATTGAAAATTGTCCAGACCCCGAAGCAGCAATGCAGTCCCAGCCATCACACTACCATCACCATGTTTTACTGTTGGAATACCAGCTCTTTTTTCTATAATGATGGGTTATTTTTACACCTGACACATTTGGTACACACTTTGTAAAACTGTGTGAGAATTTTTTTTTTTTGCCCAGCTTTTTTCTTACTGTTAAATCTTTCCTATTTGACATGTCACAACAGATGTATTTGCAGATCTTAAACATCATAAAAGACTTCATTACCCTTTAATAAGCAGATACAAAGCTGTTGTGGTCCGTAAATCTGCAACAGTAAAGGTTAGCGGTCAGAGTCAGAACCAGGAGAACAAATACTTACAAAGACTTCAGTTTATGTAACTTGTCAAAGTGATCCAGTTGAAGCTCCACGATGGGATTGTAGGATATGTTTCTATGACATAAGATAAAAACAAAAATTCTTACAAAATATTAAATATAGATGCCACTGATCCTTGATCTTACACTACAGAGTAAATCCTGCAGAGGTTACACATCAGATATCAGCGCTTCATCTCAGTAACATGTTTTTCTATTTCTTTTTAACTCCTACATGTTTTCCTTCCAATCAAGCTGTCAAAGCGATTCAGCAGCAAACGCTGGACTCATCCTCATTTTATTTGTCTCTGCATGACAGCTTGATATAAACCTAATATGCTGTTAGTGCTCAACTACGCTTATGTAATAAACACATAAAATCTTGGTGCCAGCGTAAAAACTTTACTTTTCGTACTTAATATGTCTGATTTAATTTTATTAAAAATAAACTAATGCACTAAATCCAATTAAAATTGAGTTTTGTGCAAAATGATTCTCGCAGACATGTAAACAGACTCGAGCTGCAGCAATCCAAAGTTAAAGCAAAATCTGTTTACTGTCGTGTTTGATTAAGAACTCACAGTTGGAGCAAATCCTCCAGCAAGACAAATAGATTGGGAGGTATGGCCACCAGTCTGTTGTTGGACAGATCCCTGTGCAGAGACAAAGCACATAAACATTAAAAAAATAAACAAACTCATTCAGAACCAAAAGAATCTGAAAGATTATATACTAATTTTTGCTGATCTTTTTATAGAACATTGTTGGTTTCAAAACTATTTTCTGCTAATATACAAAATATGAACAACATGGACTTGGCCGTTTGACATACAGAGACGAACAGGCACAACACTATATTTTCTCCTTTACATGCGTCTATTATTTGTAAAAATTATGATAAAAAACAGAAGAAACTTCTTCACAAAAATGATTTTGCTTGTAAAAAAGAAATCCAATTATTTTTGCAAGATTTTACTCAGGATCAAAGGTGCTCGTATGAAAAAAAAGAAATAATAATCTCCATTTGGTTGCTTTGTGTTAAACAGATTTTTTTAAATAACACAAAAAAACAAGGGCAAGGAAAAAAACTCAATACTTTATTTCAAATAAAATAGTTCACATGTCCAATAAGAAATCCTGTCAAACCTGAAGTGCTTTAAGTAGAGTTCTTTTATTCCTTGAAAAGCTCTCATCTTCTATCCAAAAGCCTTCTTCAGTTCTCAGTGTGATTTCTATTCAAGCTGTAGTCACACCATTTGGATCCATTAAGGACACAAGTTACCAGTTCTTCTCTCCGTTTTGTCCAGTACTTGACTCCATGCTATTTGTCCACAGCAATAACACATGAGTGACTTTGGTCACATGTCCCATGGTGTGAACTGCTGTGAAACTGCCTGAGGACATGAGTCAGGACTGATCACCATCCTCTTTGTGAACTCAGCATATATGCAGAAGATACAGATAAATGGAAATACTATTTCTCTCTCTCAAAGCATTCAAATTAATAAAGTAAAAACAAGGTAAAATTGTCCTACTGAAACAAAATTAAGGTTAAAATCAATTAGCAGGGGTCACAGGGAGAATGTAGTGGACAGAGTCAAGCATCCTGACAGGCTGGTGTTTAAAGATGCTCAGAAGCGTTGGGGAGTGTGTTCTGGTACCTTCTCCCTGAGGGCAGGAGGCTGAAGACTGGTAGTGAGGTGTGAGAGGTGTCATTAGCAATGCAGGCAAAGTTGATGTCAAAAATGTCAGTGAAGGAGGGAAGAGTGGAGATGATCCTCCTGGCTTTCCTATGTCTTGCAGAATCTTTTTGCAGTCTGCACAGTCAGTGTTAGACAGACAAAATCTTTGTTGACTGTGTAGGAGGCTCTACTTTTGGTTTTCAAAGATGTACGGTGGCATAATTGTGGCTCAAAATCAATGTGCAAACAATGATTTTGCAGCAGCTTATTTGGATTTAAAGTGACAAGAGGGCCCAAAATGGATCATTTTGAAAAGAGGCAGAACTGAGCAGACTAATATCTCATTATCTAAGAATCATTTTATGCAAAAATGTAATGAACATGTTTTGTATAGCATGAAAACCTAGCCTAACCTGTTCAAGGAAGCAACTTTTAGCTTTAGCACAGGAGGAGAAACCGCTCCATCTCCATTCATTTCCTATGGAACAAATGCTATAAGGCTAAAATTGCTTGCTGTCCTTCTACGTGGGATTCAATGTGGCGAGCACAATACAAGGAATTTGAGAAATGTTTTGTCACTGTTGTTACCACAAGCAGCAAAAAACATTCACCTTTCGCTGTTGTTCGATACTCCCCATAACTAACATATGAGTATACAAATACATGTTGTTATAGTTTCTTCATGCTTACCTTTGTTTGAAATCCCTGCTGTACTTCACCACAAATACAGCAGGGAGAATGCACAACCTTCTTAACAGAAAGGAATCTTAAGATGCAGGAACATATAGAAAAATGTAGCCTTGTTTTTTTTTGCAAGGAGAGATATCTTAACTTGATTAAGGTACAATGATGTAAGCAGTGCTTTAATGTTACATCATAGTTTATCTTCATTCTTTGAAGTCCTTGTAGTGAAGATTTATTGTGACAGCAATTTACACTTCAATGCATGTAACTAAAAAACATTTATACATTACTAAAACTGACTTTCAGCAGCCAGAGCTGTTGGTGCTATGAGATGCATTCTCTCTGTTTTTATTGTTTCTGATTGAATAACCGACAGCCATTATCAACACTTTGCATGTTTAATAAAGTTGACAAAATATATTCTTAGAGTTTACAGAAATGTGCATTATTTATGTTGTGAATAGAACAGAATAAATAAAGTCATGCAAAATGTAACTAGCGTTTGGCTACAGAGTCAAAAAGAAACAAAACAACATTGGTTATTTTGCTTCCATGGAATTTAGAGATAAAGAGCCATGGAAGGCCTTATCTTGGACAAAAGGATACAAAAAAGTATTTGCAAGAAGAAGAAAAAAAGTAAAGAGCTTCAAGTTATCTGAAATATATTCCACTAAGTTAATTTATTCTAAAGTCTCAAAGTCAAACCCAAACAGCTGGATTCTTAAGAAATTGGCCTGAAGCTTTCACAGCCTAGACAAAGGTGTGTCTGATGTTACAATAACGGCACTAGATACAGATAACACATTTCTTTCCCTCAAATATCCAGCAAGGAAAAAGAAATGCTTCAATTAGTCCCTTGCTGTTAAATGTCTGCAGTTTATTTCTTATATTTCAGGCAGGACAAAAAGTGTCACAGTAATCTTGAGATATGAGCAACTAATTTTAAGTAGTTTGCCCTTTAATCCAAAGCGACATTACTGCAAAACTAATGTGGCTTTGGATTCTCCAGAACCTCAGTGTGTTCTGGAGAATGAGAACAGACAATATGTTGCCTCGAGCTATCGAAGTTTCTGCTAGAGGAGCATAAAAAATTCACAGGTCCCTGGAACAGGAGATGCTGAAACTCATGAGGCATTTATCAGCTTTGTACAGGCAACACTGAGGCACAGCAAATGAAAGGAACACACAGTTGGGGGATGCTACGAAGATAAATGCAAGAGGACACTATTCAAAACTCAAGAGGGAGACAGGATATGAAGTAAAAGGTTCACATCTGCAGGCAAACGCAGCACTTCTGTGGTTATAAGCCAGAAAAATACAAACAACAGAAGTGGAATGGCGTCCCCTGTACAGAAGCAGATCAAATAATAACAAGTCTGAAAAGTAAAACAAGATTAATGTAGACACTTGGTTTAATGCTGTGTCTGTAAAGGTTAAATATGTGTTCATAGTAATTAAAATAATATTCCTGTAGAAAAAAAAATGCTCTTAGAAAAAGCATTTTTTTCTTCGAAAATGGGAACATTAGCTGAAATGTATATAGCAGCGGCAAAAACATTTCAGAGGAGCAAACTAATGCTCCCCAACAAAGTAGCTAATCTAAACGATCATATTCAGCCTCAATTTAACTGCAAGTAGTCCAACGCAGTTATGAGTTTGTTCAATGAAGCCTCCTTCATAACATGTGAGCTCATTAGACGTTGTGAAGTCTGCTGTTCCTTTCTACAGCCCTTACAATTTGCTCTCCTTCAAAATGTACCGTTTCCTTGATGTTCACATACTCCTTCAAAAACTCCATCAATGTTTTGATAATGACCTTGGAGCTGGAAGACACAATGTGTGACGCTTTTTCAAAATGATCCGCATGTTAAAGGGTTTCATTCAGCTTTTTTCTCAAAGGCATCTCAAACTTTATCTCTTTTTATTTTGAGAATAGTTTCTTTGTGCGATTTGAAAATAAAATAAATGAGGAAAGGACTGGACTTACAATTCTCCGAGCTTTTGGAGGACTGAGAATGCTTGTTCGTGTATGTAGCTGATCCTGTTTCGCTGTAACACCCTGGGAAAAGTCAATAAACACTGAATTACACCAATGTTTCTCGAATCTCTTCCTTCCATTTAATGAATCGTCATATTGACTTCATGCTCTGGCTACAAGGTGGCTCCAGTTTTAAGTGAATCTAGGTAGAATTTGCAAGCTTAAGTCAGAAGTAAATATTTTGAGAGCAAACCTTTGCCTTAGCTATGAATTACATTATGCAAATTTACACTTACAGAACTGTCAACATGGTGCATGAATGGAGAGAAGCATTTCCAATTTTTTCAATTAGATTTCCCTCCAAGTCCCTGCAAGGAAATGTTTTGGAAAACACACACGTACAGAGAGTATATGAGGATAGATACAAACACAGAGAGAGTAAACCCATCAAAGGTCTTGTCACTTTTATGAGAGGACAGTTTGTGATACTTTCTGACATCCCACTTACAGCCAGTTCAGTCTGGGCATTTCCCTGCAGATGTCATCCAACTTTGCCAGGGAGTTGTTCAACAAAACCCTGTCAATCAGAGACAAAAAAGAAACACAGTGTCGCACATTTCTTCTTCATGTTTAGACACTCTTACTCTTAACAGGGGAAGAACAACACTAAACAATAACCACTTCAAATAGCCCAAACAACATGAGATGAAGGTAAAAGATCAAATATGTAATGTAAGGGCAGAAACTCACAGTAAAACAAGAGAGTTCAGTCCTGAAAATGTCATGGCAGATATCTGATGGATATTATTGTTTTCCAGGATCCTGAAAAGACAAACAGGATGTTGTTTCCACCTTATTGTCGGATTATTGATCCGGATAAAACCGCCTCAGTAGAGATATGTGTAATGTATAATGTAATACGGAAAGGTGGAAGAGAGGAAAAGGAAACAATAGAACATAAAAGCTGCTGACTCACAGCCACTCCAGCTTGTGCAAGTCCTTGAACACTCCTGGCATCAATACTATTATCTTGTTGTAACTCAGGTACCTGAAAAAAATGAATAAAATGTTACCTTACTCTATATTTGACACATGAAACTAACAAGCAAAGCTAAGCCTGGATTTAGAGTCGGTCAGAAGCTTATACTCAGTCATTAGCATTATGCTAAATTTGAAAACATTTTATTAATCTAAATGCTAATTTACTTGCTTATTTTGTAAACTTTTAGTTCAATAAAGTTCAACATCTGAATTGATGGTTCTGTTAAGAATTATTCAAGTAGTTTGACATGGTGAATATATGGGTGAAGATTGTTTGTCTTTCCTCTTGTCATGTTCTCTCTTAAAAAAACAATATTGAGCAAATGTCAAGTACATATCAAACAAACAAATGTGACACAGAAGAATACAGCACCTCTAAATAACCAGGGATGGTCAAAAACTCAATGAAACAGCTTTGTCTCACCTGACATTCAGCTTGTCTTGTGTAGGAAGCTACAAATATCAATCTGAAAGGTGTCAGTTTTGGAAGAGAAGTTTTCTTTCTTGTTTAGTACCCTCTCAGTCCATGCTGATGAATAACAACTCTGTATAGACAGTGACACTGCTGCCTAGTTTGTGAGACACTTGATAATTTGAACCAATTTTCTTCCAGATTAGTCTAACATTTTGGGTTATATGGGTAAAAATTCAATAAAATCTGCTGTTTCAAAGAAATAATGGACAAATTATGTTTCATTTAAGGTTTCAGAATGGCTCTGAAACCTAAAGAATCTTATAGAAAAATATGGACTATAATTAAAGTCAAAAGCAATCACTTAAACAAGTTCTTCCAACTCTCCTGGAGCGTGTTGTCAAGGTGAAACTGCCTTATAGACATTTATTTAAATATTACTGAAGCTGAATATATGCACTTCAGTCTGTCTGCAAGCAGAAATTCTGAATAAATCGTGCAGCCACTTCCTCTGTTTAAAATCATTCAAATTTCTTTTTTTTTTAAACATTAAGTATAAAAAGGAACCACACAAATAAAAGTCTAAATGTGCATAACATGCATGAATATGATGAATGTACGTTAAGGTCTAACCAGAACTGTACCCAAACCTCCTAATTATTTTTATTATTCAATGTAAATTGTACATTGACAATATCAATTACTGTACTTCCCAGTCATCTAAGATGTATTTTAGTCTTCATCTCTATATTACAGTAAAGAGGTTTTGCATCGCTGAAGAGCAGCAGATCAAATGGGTAAGAAAAAGAGAGGATGTCATTTTCTTTGAGAAAGGTACATTTAATAAAGCAAGAATTTCTGGCCTCTCTGGCCTATCCAAGGACATCTTCAAAGTGAGATACAAAAAGAAAAATGTAATGAAAGGTGGAGAAAATACACCTTCACATAGATAGGTCATTGCAGGTTTACAACATATTCTTGTTATCTCAGATTTCTGTAAAGTTGTCCAGGTTATCTTCAAATCCTCGTGGATTCGACATTCAGTGTTTTATCAATGTCATCCGCCTCCAGGTGGGGGAGGGTTGAACAGTTAAAGTTTAATGATGAAAGGTGTGTTTTTCAGCATATAGTTATAGATTTTTTTTTCAATTTGTGTTTCTTTCTGTCTTTTTTGTCTGGGTAAAACACTACATTTTTCGTCACAGCCTTTACACATTGAATAACTAATCAAGCCCTGCAGTAAATGTATCCACTGAGCCCTGAAACTCTTTGACCGCTACTTCTTGAGGGATTACCCTTTAGCTGATTACTCTTTCTTTCCAGTAATTTCCAAGCTCTGCTCCAGCCTCAGTTTTTTCCTCTTTGAACACCAGCCAGCTTTGCTCCTCCTTACTCGCCTCCCTATCTCTGTGAAAACCAGCCTGTGTCGCCTGTCGGCTCTGCTCATTCATCTACAGCCACCAGAAAAGTAAGCTCTGCACCAGTTCAGATTTTGGCATCCTGCTGACACCTTGACTCACAGAAAATCTCTCCAGCTCAACCTGGACTGCACCTTCAGTTCTTTGTGATGGTATTTTTTAAACAATCAAACCTTTTTGGAGGTGCTTAGTTAAATGTACACACAGCCAAAGCCATCTTGAACGGCTCATATTTGTTAGAATAGCTTGTCAAGAAGATGATTCTGTGCATACCTCATAGTTTGAGCAAATGGGTTACAGTGTCATAAATCAAAAAAATATTTATTTCCATTTCAGACACAAAAATCTTTTTAAAAAACCAAATCCACTTTTCAAAGTTATAAAATCATTTTATGCTTCAGTTCTTACCAGTATTGTTACTCTGACACAGACGTACATCAACAACTAGTTTACCTGTTTCAATAAGCAACTAATCAATTAATCACACGATAAATTAAAATGAGCTCAATAATCTCCAATCTTACAATTAAGTTTTGTTTATTTAATGTGTTGTTCCATTTTTAGTGGTTTTTGTTTACATTTTATTTATTGTTTTTCATTTAAATCTGCTGTAGTCAACTTTTATTTATTTACTTACAAAGTCATTCAAGTTACCTCCATACTCACACCTGCTTTACTTGACCATTAGTAACAATTTATTCATTCACAATAATGGCTCACATTATAAATAACTTACAGAGCTGGGAATATCTGCCATCTGCTCTTATGCAAGTCACAACTAAAATATGCTGCAGTTTCACTTTTTATTTATTGTTTTTACTGAGTAAATAAATAAAATATATACATTTTATATACATTTCTGAACATTCAGTTTTGTTTATTTTGCACAAACACTGACAGGAAAAAAAGACGTACATCTTCAGATGTGCAGTCACAGAGTACATAAAAGTAAAAACAACATATTTCCTTCAAGAAAACCTTTCCACTGTCATACTGCTGACATCAGCAGTTTGTTTCATAATCTGTGACTGTGAAGAGTTTTGAATAGAATACCCTGTTTTTGTCTTCTCTCCTCACTGCATTAAACCTCTTCAGCTTTTTCCCATAGCTGAATCTGTAAGACCAGGGGCGCTCACTTCACAGCTTACTATGTTATAATTTAGTGGTAAATATTTATCCACAACCTGCGGTTAGAAATATCTGTTTTGTCAAAAAATTGTGGCTGTGAGCACCGGTGGTTGCCAATGTGATGTAATTTATCTATTAATAGTACAGAACCTATTTGGTCAAAGAAGCTCTTCTTTATACGTTTTATACCTTTTATATGCATTAAACCGTAAATGTTTTTATTTAGCAGTTCATATCAAAACTGCTAAAAAAAAGTTAGGAATATAAATAGTCTATTAGAACTAGAATAATAAGGAGTTCATGTCTCTCACTTGTGATATTTAATACTTCTACCTCCCAGGAATCAGAGCTGACAAGCTACTGTGGTCATGTTTTATGAAATAAGAGTTAGATTTTAATCCAAAAGGAACTTATTCTTGCAAAAAACATTTATAATTTGAGGTTAGAATGGTTAGAATCAGAATAGTGACAGAGATGTTAAAAGTTACAATAATCTAATCACAATAAGCATATAGTAATCAGAAAAACTATAACTTTACTCACAGTCTTGTTAGATTATGAAGCCCTCTGAATGCATCAGGATTCACATCTTTAATATTGTTGTGCTGTAAATATCTACAAAAGAAGCACAGAAACGTCTTGAGGTTGATGAATTAATGAGTAAACAAAATGAGGCACAGGTTCATTCCCAAAGAAAGCATGGATGGGCTGACTGACAAAGAACTCTGCAGCAAGGCCTAAATTAAGGGGTAATATCCTAGTTAAGGGGTAGTTTGTTGGATATTGGAATTATATTTTACTAACAACTGTTCATCTTGTTTATGAAAACACAATGGACATTTTAAATCTATTTAAACCCGCAATCCCAACAATGCCAAACAGGTTCTGGCAAAGGATTAGACCTGTCCTCACAGTGACACTGTGCAAGCTTGATAAACAGCACAAGTCAGTGGCAAATGCATCTATATGCACAGCAGAACAATCAACTCTACCAGCATGCCCAACAGCCTTCCAAGGTTCATTATGTCTCCTGCACATGGTTTCAGTAACTTCAGATTATGTATATGTGAAGAGAGGATGATGGAAACTCACAGTTTCTGTAGGCTTTGGTAGTTAAAGAATCCTTTTGCTTTCAGCCTGTGAAGTCTGTTTCTTTGTAAGGACCTAAGAAATAAGAAGGAATTGTGATCATGTTGGTGTGCAGACCGATTAACAACTTTCATAAAAAATTATTAAATTAATTAAAGCCTGACCAAACTGTTAAGCAGCCAGGATTTCTTCTCGATTGTGTTATGTAGCAGCTGAAAACTTCAATATATTTTAATGGGATTTTATGTGGCAAACCAGCACAAAGTAATGCATGTCAGCAAAGTGGAAGGAAATGATACATTAATTAGAAAATCTTTCGGAGTAAAAAGGTGAACATTTTACAATTGCATCCGGCCTCCCTGAGTAAATGCATTGAAGAACCACAATTTCCATATTGAATTTCTCTACCAGCTTTGCCAGCTAGACAAAAGTTGATTTCATCTTTGTGAAATAGCTCAGTTCCAGTCAGATTGGATTTAGCTCTAGACTTTGACTAAGCCCCTATAATACATGCATCGCATTGTGGCTGTGGTTGGTAAATTTGAAGTAAAACAAAATTCAGTCTTTCACTCAAATGGTCTGAATACAAAAGCTTGCTTTGTAAAAAGTTTGAAAACAGTGTTTAATTTTCCTTCCACAATTATGCACTATTTTGAGTTGGTCTTTCACATAAAACAAAAATTCAAATAAAATTCAAATAGCCCTTGCTTTATCAAAACCATTAAAAATACCTCAAACAAATGATCTTTTTCTATCTCCATTTGCAAAAGATGAAATTTTCATTCTACATTCTTAACATGTCACCTTTTTCTGATGTTGTCTTATTGAACATATGGAAAGGCAAAAATAACATCAGACAGAAAATTTCAAATGATTTATCACACAAGCACCAAAGGAGCCTCATGAATAATGATACTTTTTTTAACACTTGGTCATCTGTAAAACAGCGGAAACCCTGACTTCTTTTAAATCGCAACTAAAAACACACTTGTTTAGAGTTTCATTTGAAATGTAATATGTAACAATGTATTGTCTATTATATGTTGCATGACTTTGTGTTCTTGTGTTTATGATGTAAAGCACTTTGAAATGCCTTGCTGCTGAAATGTGCTATACAAATAAAATTTGATTGATTGATTGATTGATCAGTTAGAAAATTAAAATCATAAACATGCTACACCTGGTCAAACTGCTGATCTATCTTATAAACCCAGTTTTATCAAGAGACTCCCAATTTTCCAGTTGATTCAGTTTTTGCTTCCAAACCTTTGAATGGATTGGAATGTCACTAAAGTGTAATTTCATCACTTGTAGTTATTCCAGACTTTTGGACGTGTTCACTTGTGGATTCTGGGGAAATTATAACACAGTCAAACGCAGCATTTTGACTTTTTCACACAAAGACCACCAACAGGCATGCTTTTGTAAAGGACAGGGAGGGAAGTAATGTCAATAGGACTCCACTTTAGACATTTTATCTTTTCAATTTCCCATTGCAATGCAATATTTATCCACCATTTTGAACAACAAGTTTTTAAAAATGTATTATTTATTTCTGCTTAGGTTTTTTTCATTTCAAAATATGGTTTTCACATGGACAAAGACATATGCTCCATTGCTTTTTGCAGCATTCAATATCTGCTATAATGTGAGATAAGGTCAGCTGGAGAGCTGCTTACATCCTGGAGTTACACATTCTGTTTTTCAGAAACCCAATAAATGTTGAAAGAGGAGTTTACACTCTCAAGCTGATAAGAAATTTTGCAGATTCACAGTTTTGTTGAAAACATTCAGAGTGCAATAGCACAGCCAGATCGACTGCTGTTTATGGCAGAAGTACAGATTTTAGCAGCAGTAGGTGCAGAGCAATTGAAAATCAACAGACTGGAGGTGCCTGGTGTTGATTCTGTATAATAAAATCATTGATTCAAAAGGGGTGCATTTAAAATATCAGGATTATAAAGCTCATCAATCAGTGAAGTCATTCATTCTGTGAATCAGCAGGGGTCAAACAAGTGCCTCTCATTTCAGGATGAAGACAGTGGTTATAGCACATTCCTCTCTGAACACTCGAGTAAAATTGGTTCCTCCATATATAATTCAGAACTAAAGAAGGCCTTAATTAAAAAGAGAATTTGAAGACGGAAAAACATTTTAAAAAGTGTACAACATGAAGGCATTCCCAGATAAAATGATCTAAAAACAGAAACTAAGCAGGGCTGGAAGTCTTTTACTGTGTCATGATTAGATTTGATTGCAATTTTTGGTGCCACAATTTGATCAAATCAATCTTCAATTCATTCATAATGATTTCTGCTTCAATCTATAAGCACATAAAGGGTCCTCAAGGTCATTCTGCTCTGCAATGCATGATGACCAATGGAGACATTAAAGTGTCTTATTTGCATTTGCTGAGTTTTGAATAATATTCAGAGCTTATATGGAATTATTCCCTCCCTGCATCCTCTGTTTTGTTGTAGCAAAAATCAATTCACATTCACAATTCACCTGTGAATATCAGGATTCTTGTGTGAATCAATTTTTTGGCACACTGCTAAAACTAAACTACAAAAGCTAGGAAGAAAATGGAAAACCAGCATCTGTACAAACACTTAACCAATAATGATTTCAACCTAACAAGAAGGGGACAAAAACACACAATAATATAAACAAAAGCCAACATGGAAAAGATTTAGCTGCTGATCAAATTCATTTTAGTATCTAATCATGCCTGCAGCTATCTTAAAGCACTGCCAACAGCAAGACATCAGCAGTGACATTTAGGAAGCAATTGTTATTGGAAGGATTATGAAGTCATTTCCAAATAATCTGAAGTCCATCATTCTACAGTGACATAGATTATTTCTAAGTGGAAGCCATTAGAGACAGCTGTCAATCTTCTCCAAAGTGGACATGCCAGAAAATTCACCCCGTCAGACAAGCAATGTTCAGAAAATGACAAAAGCTCAGCAGCTGTAGTTCCAGCTAAAACTCTTGCTCTTTTTTTCACATTTTGTAGCAGAGTATATTTTAAACAAAGCATCAATTTTGAAACAGAACTGCCTGAAAAAATGATCCAGTCAAGTTTCCAGCCTAACCTTGAAACCCCGCTGAGGGACCGCAAGTGAGCCGTGCAACAAACACGTCAACTTCAACTTTTCAGCCTCCACATAGTCATAACAGAATGACAAAGTCATACAGATACTTTGATATTGTTGCCAATGAGATTATTTAAGTGACTGGATAATTATTTTACACTTTTCCTTTTTTGTTGTTTAACTGAAGGTGGAATCTGTTGTGTTTTGTGCACTTCAGACTAGATTTACAATTCATTGTTAGTCAGTCTGCTCATCACCTCCTCGTTCTGCTTGATTTTTATTTCCCTTCAGTGCTCCATCTTGAATTTCTCCCATTGAGGTTGATTTCTTTAGGTAAATCTATGAACAAAAGGAGTTGCTGTGAACAATTGATGTTGATTTATTGCGCTGTTTACAAATTGCAATCTGTCTATACGGTTGTAGTTTGGAAATGGCAGCAGAGGAATTAAATGAAGCCATTCAGTCCATTTTGTTTGCACTTCCAAATATTAAACAATTAAAATTCGAGAATGAAAAACGTTTAAAACATTTTAGTTACAATGCTTCATTGAGCTACAGTGCATTACATACCTCATGGCCAAAAGCAATGAGGTCCAATTGTTTAAAACTTCAACAGAGTCCACACCTCCAACAATCGATCATTTCTCAATAAAGGCCTGATTTTTCGCAAGCCAAACTTTAGTTTGATTCGTAAAACCCTAAATCTAAAACTGTGAATGTATTTTTTTTTCAGATGACTGAATTGATCATGTTTAGATTCCTCTCCACTGAAACTGTTAAATCCTGAAGAAAAATCTTTTTATTTGATTTGTATAAGAAATTGTGGTTAATTCAGTTGTCTGTGTAACATAATTATCTCCATTACGCAATAGTAAAAGTGAAAAAACATGTCAAGGTAAGACTTTACTTCTTTGTTCTTGAATAAGTTTTTCAGCAATGACAGGCCCTCCTCTTTCTCCCCAACATGGGTTCCTTGAGGGCAGACATCCATGACAACACTTCCAAAAATAAATGACAGTGAAAGCTTTTGATGAATGACTTGTTGAGCTTTATGAAGCTGAAAAAAGGCCATCCCTAAAACAGAAGGGGTTATTTTCCACTCACATAACGGTGACATTTATCGCCACTACGGGGATCTCTCGGAGCTGAGCGCTGTCACAGTCCAGCTCCAGGTCTCGGCACTGGCAGAGCTCAGGAACGACACCCAGCACTGCGAGACAGGAAAAGGACATCAGAGGACATGTCAATCAAATGGTCATCCTGCAGAGCCATGAGTGGAGCTGCTTGCAGGAATGACAACCTGCTGAAGAACGAAAGGTTACAAATTAAACCACCAGGCAAGAAAAAAGTAAAGTAGATTTTTTACAAAAAATTGGCTTAATTATTAGGTTATAAACAATTACAGTTTGGATCTGACCTTTTAAATTTGGAGGATGTAATTAACTAAAAGAGGATATTTATTTATCTCAGTGGGTAGAAATCCATCACACCTGGAAGTATTTAAAGACAAAATGAGCCACAAAGTTGATGAAAGGTTTTATTTGAACAGTAAATTTTATTATACATAATTACACAATTTCAATCAATCAAGTTTATTTGCATAACACATTTCATATGTTTCAGTTCGAGGTAAAGTTTCTAAAATAAATGGACTTTTCAATAATAACAATAGTATTCTAATTTATTGATTAGGAATTATGTGATCTTGGACAAATAATTCTAAACAGTAAACTGCCTTAGTGATGAGTTTTTGTGACTTAGTGACTTTATGAAACCTCAACTGACTTCAATCAATACATTCTATTTTGTTCTAATTTCTGGTCAGGTTTCCTAATAATTATTAGAGCATAAAAAAGACTTACAATAAACAAGTAATGTCATCAAAATGAGACACATCGCTCGGGAGCGAAAGTCCCATCTCTTATTTTAATTCATGATTTTTAAATAGCTAATTCATACTGTGTCCCAGTTGGCTACAAGTATAGTTCAGCTTAACACCTGACTGCTTCATATGAAAATAGCAACAACCATTTCAGGTGCAAGATGAAAAAAGGTTGCAAAATGCATGCAACTGCTTGTGCAATATATTGTTGCTGAAAGGCAATTGGTAAAAAATTTTTATGCAATTTTGCATTGATGAATACTTTAATGTGGGTCCTGAGCATATCAGCTTTATTGATTCTCAAATGTGTATCCAAAGCGGATAGAAGGGAAGCCAAATAAGGTCGAATAATCACAGGGATAATCAACATGTTGATTACAAATTTAGACAAATCTATTTGGTTTAAATTGTGCGTGTTGCAAATGTGCTCTGAATAAAAAAAACATCCAATTCAGCTCCATATGCCTGATGCATCCAGCATGAAAGTTTTGAAGAGTTTGAGGTGAAAAAAAAAAAATCAAACAGCTGCAAATGAAAAGCTCCAAAATGGAAACAAAAAATGAATGAACAAACAAAATAAAACAAAAAGAACCTCAGTCGATGTCCATAGCCTTGATTTTATGTATGGGTATTTTTATTTTGAGCTTTGAGATAAACACTGCAGAAAATCCCCAACATGAATACCTAAATTGTTGTGACCGTTTCCACAATGCTCCGATTACACAACATGCCTTTTTAAGGGCATAAGCTGGTATGGCCAAATCTGTCAAAGGTAATGTAGAAACAAGCTTCTTATGTGCTGAAAATATTCTCAGATTACAGTTTTACAAAACAAAGTGTAGAAGCAGAGACAGCCAAAATCTTTTTTAAGCTTTACATTTTCAAGGAAACAACCCTTAACCCAAACCAGAGAAAAAAAAGAAAAGAAGAAAAAGAAGTCAGACAAAGCAAAGATTGCTAAAAATACAAAAGACTCAAAATAAAGAAACATCAAGTAAAGCAGGATGTAGATGCATTTCTAGAGTCTAAATACATATATGTTCAGTACATGATGGTTTCTTCATGTCTGTTTCTATTCATTTTTCTGAAAACTACATACTTTTACATACTTACAGAATGTAACTTTTTGTATGAAACTGCACACAGATAAGTATGTAGTTTCTTATCTATATCATGAAAAAAAACATAAAAAGTTGTGTAACTTTTTGTTTGAAAATATTTAATACAGAAAGTGTCATCTAATCCAAATATCAAAGCAAATTTCTTAGAGCAGACATAGAAATAAAACCATTTTATTTTGAAAGCTGATGCCTTCGGGAGGTTTTAAACAAATAATTGCCTCAAGATTCAAAAAATCATAATGGAAAGATTTTAAATCAATTACACATCAATAAATTAAAATTAGATCCTAAAATAAGTTGCACTAAAACTGGTAGCACACAGCCATACAGACTTTTCTATATATGGCTAGACAGGAGCACTTAAAAAAGATTCCTCTCCAGCATGTTTTATCGTAGTCAGTCCAATCTTTACTGTGCGAAAAGAAATGCAATAATTTTTATCACTGTCCAAACAGCCGCTGGCCTGACCGCAATAAGTGTAAGCAATTATGGCTGGAGGTCCATTCACACTAAGCAGATAAGAGATTACAGCTGTTCTAGTAGTAATTGAGGGTACAGCAGCTGGGGAATCTTTCACTGGCAATAAATGAGTTGGCTGTTTGAAATAAACAGCTGATGGCCCCAAACCTCACTGTGCTGCGGTGGACCAGCCGCAGATGGAAGGCAGCCAATTTAATTTTGGTTTCACGACACAAAAAAATAACAATCAAGTTTGAGCTTCGTGTTGCTGGGAAAATATTCCTGAAGTGTAAATTTAACATCAGATGACACTGCATATCCATCCATTACAATTAATAATAAGTTTCAAACATATAAAGTCATTTATACTCTGTGGGGAAATATAAATTTATTTCTACCACAGTAAAAAGTGTCACATTAAAAGTTAAAATTATAACCTTGGGAGGGAATAGATTGTATGTGCATTGTAAAGATTTAAGTTTGTGTTTCATATTTTTTCCAGGATGCCTGAACAACTATAGATATCTATTAAACCAACAATTTCTGAATAAATATTCGTCTTGCACACTGATTATTTTCTACAATTCATTAAAATTCGTCCTGAACAATAGTTTTGGGGCCATTTAAGATTTTCCTTGGATTTTTGGGCCTTGAGAAACTAATGTGCAGTTTGCTTAGAAAAATAAGTAAATTGGGCCACAAAATAAAATTGGGATTAAAAAAAAGATAGGAAACAACTGAGAATATACAATCTGAAAGAAGGTAAATGTGTTGTAATCTTCTAATCCTCCATATTAAATATTGAGTGTTTTACTCTACTCATATATATATGAGTATATATAAAATAAAAAAAAAATTCCCTTCTCACCCACCGCGGGTGGTTCTTATCCTCTGAGCTCGGGTCCTCTACCAGAGGCCTGGAGCTTGAGGGTTCTGCGCAGTATCTTGGCTGTGCCAAGGACTGCACATTTCTGGACTGAGATGTCTGATGTTGTTCCTGGGATCTGTATATATATATATATATATATATATATATATATATATATATATATATATATATATATATATATATATATATATATATATATTTTTTTTTTTTAAGGCCTCTTGTTTGCAGTCATGACACAACATGACGCAGCAGAAAACAAAATGACTCATCTGAATAATGAAACATTATTTTCAAAAAAGGTTATTAATGATCATATAGACCGGCTCAGTTCAGCTCCACTTTAAAATTTCAAAACACATTTTAGACATGTTTATAATTTTTTTTATCTTCAAGGTAAAAAAAATTAAATAAAAAATTGAAAAAAGAATCTCTGGAGACATAAATTGCATTTTTTATCATCCATATCTCCAGATCTGGTGACTAACAAAACATTTTTTTTATTACTTGAAAGTCTGACATAGGAAATAAAATATGTGTGTTATAAGATACACCTTGCTGGTACGGTTCAGAACTGCTTTGGACTGGATAAGTGAAATGCTGAATCATTTTAAAATTCTTCAGTACAGAAAATGGTCCAATGTTTGGAGTAAATCTTGAACAGAATTTTTTTGACAAGCAGACAAAAATGTAACATTTTCACTGTTCAGGAAAAATATAGCTCTGACAACGGAGACAAATTTTACTAAGTTTGTAACTGTATATTTGAACAACTTTATGCAATGTGAAGAGAAGAGTAGGAAACTTAGAGCCAATATGGTTCTAACATGTTTACTCTGAGAATGCTTTGTAATGAACACATTATACCTTTAACTGCCTGATTTCTAAGCAGAGAAAGCCCAAATTTCTATAGCTAAAAAACAACAATGGATCTCCAAATATAAACCCCCTGAAAAGTTGAGGCAAAATAAAACAAAAAACGGAAACCAGGATTTTCTGACAAACATAGTTGAAGGAACAGAAGAAAATAAAAACAAACTAAGGCATTGGGCTTGTTTTCTTCTAGAATATGACATAAATTATAATAAATAAAACCAAACACTTTCAGGATATTGTGGATTATGCCCAAGAGGCAAGTCCAAAGTGCTTCAACTTTAAGAGCTTTGTGGTGGCTTCTTTGTACAATTGCTTTTAGCAGCCAGGAGAGGAAGTCGACATGCATATGAGACACAAACAAGTTTACGTGCACTGCGTCTGTGAAGCATAAACAAAGCCAAGCTCAGAGACCTCTTGAGTGGTGAGTAACATTATTTTCACAGCCTGCTGAATGACCTCTAATAGCCTCAAAAGATGCAGAAGCACGAAAAGAGACGGGAATGTTAGACACCGAAAGCCTCGCCTGCTGAGAATCTTAACACTAGACACTGAAAATTACTTGCCTGCTATCATGTTGAAATCAACTCTGAGTCACTGACATAGAGAACGTTTGTGAACTCCAGTTCTCTGGCTGCACATCCGATTATTAACTTTAATGACATAATGAATTAAACTTGGTCCTTCTTCAGAGCAAACACATTAAACCTCGATTCAAAAAGAAATTGCACAGCATCTGTGAAGGATAAAAACCCTCTTTCCAGGCTTATTTACCTTTGTGAGGTTGAAAATTGTTACAGAATAAGAAAGAGTGGGAAAAGATGGATGTCTGGAGAAAGAGAGTGCACTATGTTTTCGTGTCATTAGCTGTCATAATGATATCCGCAGCGGACACAAACCCTTCATCCTCTCCTGGGTTTTGACTTAAGCTACACAGACTTAAGAGCTTTTTCTTGATGCCATGGATTGATCAAAACGACCATCTTTAAGTTAGTTCCCCCACAGCTGGTCAAAAAGCATGCCTGGAAAAACATGTATGATGATAAAAATGTAAAAAACAAATGTATTAACTTTTGACTGTGAGAATATTGCTAATCTAGTTTGAAGAAAAAAGAGATTCCAACACTGTTAGTCAGATTAAAATTGTATTGCTTTCCTAGAAAAAGAAATAGAGTGAGTCCAATATTACTTCATCAAATTAATACAGAAATGGCTGCAAGTAGTGACGGATCAGGACATCGGTTTGGAAGAAGAAAAACAAACCTGAAAGTAAATCTCAACAATACAAAGAACCTTGCAAACATTTAAATATTTTAGTCACTTGAAACTTAGGCTGAACAATTAATTGGATTAATTATGAACAACCATGATTAATTGAAATAATCATTATCTGTGCTTTGTATTAAGACCCATTTCACCCTAAAAAATAATTTTAAATAAAATCCAGAATGACCTATTGCCATAATAAAATAAAAGGTTTTCTGTGAAGACCTCCGAGGTTTTTAGAGACTATTAGAAAACAAGCAGCATCACAGAGACCAAGGAAGAGAGCAGACAGGTCAGGGAAAATATTATGTCCATCATTCAGAAACTGGAAAGAGATTTTCACAGCTGCAAACTAAGCTTGAGGAGTCAGAATCTTAGTTCCTGTAAGATTCTCTCTCAGCTGTCAGCTTTTGTTTTCAGAATCACAATCAGCTTTACTGTGTGCGCAAACAAATAATTTGACTTCAGTTTCTAACACGTACAGCGTACAGACATCAAGTACAAATATATATTTTCCTGGAAATAAAAAAGCATTAATGGAACATGTAGTGAATGTATGCATACAGCCTTTTGTGCTCAAGTCACCTGTTACAAACAGACCCATCTCAATAAATGAAAATATTAACTTTATAACTTTATCACCAGGTAAAAGACATTATATAAATTAATTACACACAGATTGTCGTTTTCCAGTCATTATTTCTGTTAATTATAATGTCTTTCTGCTTATAGCTCTGAAAATATGTCATTGAAAATGATAATTTTTTCTTAGACCAATAAAAAAATAAAATATAACACAGAAATGCGGATTTAATTAACAGTATGCTTAATTTCAGCTTGTTGTTTTAAAAAAAATATTTTTATTTTAACAAACAAGCCTCATCAGGAAGCATGAGGCTTCCTGATGATGTGGACAGTTATATTTAACTGTCCACATTAAATATAACTGTACGGCATTCACACACTGCTGTGACACACACACCCATTCTCTGCTCTTAGAGGCACTCTAACGGTCTTGATGAATGAACCAGGCAGGCCACTGTACCACACTGGAAAGCTGTAATAAACTTGACCAGAACAGAAAGATTGCTCGTCTGCTCCTGGTGTTCAGTGTGACTCAGACTGTATGAATTTAACTGATAAAAAAGCTTCAACTGTTCAGATTTTCTGAATGTAAAACGGTCTAAAATTTGATCCTAAAACTCGAAGCACAGTTTTGTCACTCGTTTATGAGAAATCTTCTTTAAAATTGACGCTCATGCTTAATGGACAAAATGAAAGGGGTTAAAGTGTTATATTTGCACCTTAAGAGATGCTTTGAAGACCACCAGAGCTGTGACTGGTTAACTGTGTTTTCTGCAGTGGGTTTCCACTGCTGGTGGAGATTGTTTTAAAGCAAATAATGTGGGTTGAGGCATGATGCACATTCAGAATGGGTTTACATTCAATAACACCAAAGCAAACCTACTCACCCTAAATCCTTTCCCCCCCTTTTTGCTTTTTTTCACAAATAAGCCAGTGGCAGGAAATAGAGACATTCAGAGATGAAAGAAAGAACATCCTCCTACTGAGAAGATCACATTGTGAAAAACTGAGTACTTATTTTGGGGAGAATGCAAAGAAAAAAACTCTGTTTACAGCCGACATCAACGGGTGGCCTCTAATGACAGAATTAAAACCTACACAAAAGGAATCTGCAGCAGAACTATCATTAATTCCTGAGCGTCACAACTGAATCTGGCTGCACCTCATCATATCAGCAAAGATTTTTCACAACTGGCCAAAATTCGTTAAAAAAGTCCAGCAAATTTCCTGTCTGCACCCACATCATTAGTGTTCCTAAAACAATACATAACACACATAATTGTGTTCTTCATATTTCAAAAAAATACTGTCAACACTATATTCTCACCCCATTCTGTGTGAAGAATGGCTTTAAACACATGAGAGAATACTTACAGCAAATGTTGGACTTGGTCCGGGTATTATGACTTGGCATGCCAAAATATTTGTCAAAAAGGTGCGGCCACCCATTATTGTCTCCTGAAACAGAAGAAAAATGACAAACAAAATGGAAATCATCATTTGTCCTTCAAAATTATTTCTGCCAGCTAAGGAAAGTCATAAAATTATACTCCTTTATTTCATCTTATTTTATTCAAAGCCATGCCTTTCCTGTCATCCAGCTGCTAGTTTCAGACTCAGGAACATTCAGTGTTAGTGCTTTTTTCTAAGATCTTGTTCTGGTATAGTGAAGTTTAGTGATGGAAATTTAATACCTTTCAAAGGTACATAAACTTTCGGCAAAGTGACAACGGATTGTCACCGGTATTGAGACTTAGGGCCCTCGATCCTGGTCTGCATGGAGGGACATTTGGTAGAACTGCTGCCTTACACCAAGAAGGTCTCGGTTTGGAGTTTGAAGTTCACGGTCCAAAACATTAGAGTGAACTTAACTGGTTGATCTAAACTGTCCTTAGCCATGTATGTGCATGAATCTTTGTTCTGTGAGTCTCTGTGTTGAGCTGTCACGGACTGGCGACCGTAGCGTTCAGGACTCGCTGTCCCGAACACAACCCACACTTCATTCAAAGAGTCAAAATGTCATTAAAAAACTGTAACTATCTTTACATGGAGCCATCCTGCGCCTCTTCCTTGGAGATGCCAGACCTGGGTCAAACTATTTCACACAGAGCTCTGTGCAATGGGTTGTGTGATTGGTCAGAAGTTTAATGCCATTCTTTATGCAGATATACCCTCGGACAGCAAAGTTGAGTTTTTGGTTCAACTTGTTCATTTCCACTGTTTTGTTTAAGTTTTTGAAGAGCGTTTATGAGACATGGTGAGAAATTATGAACATTTGCATGATTCTTCACAAGACATTCAAAAAGATTGTCAAATGGCAAAACATTCCTGGATGGAAACTGCAGAGTTGTTGTCCTTCATAGAAGTTGTCTGCAGAGAAGTTATTGCTGTGACAGTTTACATATAATGCTTAAAACATGAAATTTCTGCATGTGAAAATGCAAAAATCTAACAACCGTGTGACTGCTTGGCTTCAGATGAGGAGTGGGATAGCCCTGAGATGTCTCTGCTCCAGCGCACCTGATTGAAGTTACTTGCTCACAACTGGTCCTGCAGAAGTCTGTTATTCAGTCAACCATTTCAGTTAGGTACTGCATCATACTGGAGGAACTATTGTTAATCACTTAGTCTGGATTGTTGAGAAAAGTTGCTGCTGGTTGATGTTTTCATTCTTTTCAGGCCATTTTTTGTGGGCCTGCTCGATTATGTTGTCGAGATCGCTTTTTTCTCCAGATAATTCTTTTTCCAGATGCCTTAAGTTTTCTAAAGGGCGTTTAATTGTAGAAAACAATTTTATCCCTGTCCTCCACAGTGCAATCCGGCTACTTTCTGCAGAATGCCAGGCAATCCTTTATGTTTTATTCTTGGAGATAAGTGACTCTTTACTGTCCAGAATGTAAAAGTCTCAGGGTGTGTGCAGAAACAGAAACATACATGCCCTCTGCCATTCCTGAGCAAACTTTGCAACCTTAGAGTGTGCCAAAGATTTATTTACTGCAGCTGAAACTCTTGTAGCTCTTGGTGATTCAATAAATGGTTTCAGTTCATGTTTTTGTAAGAATTGATGCAAATCTTGCAAATATTAAAGTGTTGGGCTGAACCGTACCTAAAACTATAAATTAAAAATAAAATTTGAAGCCATTTTTTTAGATTTTGTTCAGAAACAAAAGGAGATATTAACTTTAAATTTTTCTTTCCTCTTCCAAACTCATGATGACCCGAGTTGTCTCAGTTCAGCGCCTGTGGCGGTTTTCTGTTCCCTGATAAGTTCCCTTGCCAAAACACCGGCACCTGTTTTTTTTTACTTGCTGAGTAAAATGCAGATGTCAAAATCAATAATACTTGTTACCTTTAAGGGATGCAGAAAGCTGCAAAGTTGAAGCTGTATCTCAAGAAGGAAGCAAAATAATCTGAATTGCTAAAGTAAATAAATAAGGACTAAAATCCAATTAAAAGGAGAAATCTTTGACATGCAAAAAAGCAGTCAACTCATTTAATTTAGTAACTTAAATGTGCAATAAACACCTTTAGAAAGATACAATACTAGGAAAAAAACAAGAAAACACCAAGCTTCTGTTTTATACTTTCATACTGCAAATTAATTAACAAATGTTCAGAAAGATATAATGGCAATCTGCTTAACGTTTAACCAATTAAATTTCAACAGATGCTGTAAATTCATAAAAAATCATTTAATCCAAATAATAATGGAGTTCCCACACGTTCGATGTTGGAGCTCTACAATGCAGAAGCAGATGCAGCCAGATGCATACTCTTTCACCACTTTTGTGTATATTGATCTACACTAACTGCTCATGGATAAACTGGAATAATGACTTTTAAAATGTCATGGAAAGATTCACAAGAGTTCATGAAGAACACTTACTGCAATATGTTTCACAATCTGCTATCAAAGGAACTCATTTCACTTTTCTCCCATACACAGACTATGGGTTTGCCCTGACAATTTCAAAAATCGACATTTCTGGGTAAAGTTCAATAGGGGCAGCTTCAGCTGTGAACTTTTAAATAACAGTTGTTGACAGGAGAAAAGAGAAATCACTTGAAAAAACATAATTGCAGAGTAAGAAATTAAACCTTGAGGTTAAAGTCATTCAGTTGTTCCTTTTTTCCCTGCAGCTGATGTTTTGATCAGAATAATCGTGTCGAGTTTGTAGAAAGTTGGACAGCTTTTGGCAACTTTGGCACCAAACTTTCCAGTAACCTTTGCTTCATTCCCAACTTATGGAAACCTTGCTGATCATGTTAGTGACTGAAACCACATTGGGCTTGTTTTCATCGTGGCTCATCTGCTGTTCCTCTGCTACCAGGTCTGTATCAGGCTGTGGTATTCTGATGCACATTTAACAGCATCAGAATAAACATCCAAAATAAACAACAACCACTATCAGAATCATTAAGTCAAAACTTGGTGAAAACGTTAGTTCAGACTCTAATCAAACTAGATTTCTCTCTTTACTTTTAAATGAATGTTGTTCTTTATTTGATTAGAATGAAAAACTCTTATTCCAAGTAATTGTTATTCTCACTTTAACCTCAAATCCCGATGTTCTGATCCCAAATATCATTGAAAGGTTTCATTTCTTCCAGATGTTATCAAAAGGTTCATTACCTCATAAGGGTTTCTCAGAGCAAGTTACAGCTTTCTGAATAAATACATCTGAAAGTGTAAAAAAGTATTTACACAAATTATATAAAAAAAAAAACATCCTGTGTTTAAATTTTAAACATAGGTTCCTTTGCCTCCCTGACTCCTTGATGGTGAATTTCACCACAAAGATGCATCTTGCTGTGGCACACTATTCACCATACATCCAGGCTCCAGAGAAAACCCAACACAGGTTATTTTCAGAAGCATTTATTTGCTTTTATTAACTGAAGTTTGAATAAAAATGTGGATAAATTTACATCGAATGCAAAGCCCATCACAATCCAAGCAGCTTGGAGCTGCAGCTTCTATGGTTTAAAGATGCAGCAGAAACACAATGCAGCATCCAGAAAGACCAGAGATTTCCCTGGATGCAAAGAGTAGCAAAGCACTGCCCCTCCCACACCTTTTGCTGCACACTACTGGACAACTGTCTACGGTCTAGTCTATCTTGGGGAGGCGGAGTAGACTGTGTTTTGCCTTCTCATACACACACATGCATACATTTTGTTCTGGCCAAAAGATTTGCAGAATAACATCATCAGGATGTTAAACTGAGATATAAATCTTGTTTTCCACAAAATCATTTCCTGAGAATCTGTACATGTCCAAATGCAACATTTATGACTAATACATAGTCTTTTATTAATTTTATAACTTTTAATAAAAGTCAACACAATAGTCGCTAATAAGCTAATAATCTCTTTGATAGTTTAAAACAGAGTAAGCTTTGAAAGGATGTTTATTTTATTTTTTTATTTTTTTTACAATAACACATTTAGATGTACAAATAGGCTGCTATTTAGCCAAAAATATATTATCTGCTGTTTCAGAACTGCCTCTCTAAAATGGTGGAGGGTTTTCAGCTTTGATTGTCTAATTTCCCATGAGCATGTTTGCAGGATCAGTGCCTAATGACAATAAAACAGAGACATGTCTGTGAGCTATCTAATGCTGACTATACTTTGGGGAACCTGTGTTTAAGCCACACAGAACAAGAAACAGCCCACTTGGACTTACCAAGTCTGATCAACCTGTTCAGCATTCGGCAGACAAAAAAAATTGCTTTTTGTTTGCTGAACTTTTTGAGACTTTATTCTTTGTTTAAAGCGACAGCAAAGCTCTCTCTTGTTTTTCCTCTACACTTCAACGTGCTCAGCATCACTTAGAGACTTCTTATGGTCTTCTCTTCTTCATCTTTAGTTTGCATGGCTTCCCAGAATAACCTCTAGGCCTGTTCAAAGTGTCAGTGGTGATGGAAAAGGCAACAGTAAGAATCAAAGGTCCGGGGATCACTTGAGAAGTGATCATAACAACCGTCAACAAGTAAGGCGTTTGATTTTCTGATAAAGCTTCGTTCAGAGCAGAGAACTCATGGATCACCTTAAGCTCATTAATTTTGAATTCTTCTTTTCCTTTCCTCCAAATCTTCCCTCAGATTTTGGACGGGTTCTGGTGGAACTTCTCTTTCAGTAGTCAGATATTTTATGCTTGCTTGATTTCTTAAGTCATAAAACTGGAATTTATCTTTTATTTGGTTACTAAGGGACAGAAGATGACTGTTTTAAAACAACTAATATCAGCTAAAGTCTTGATATTGTGAAAAACAATATATAATTTTATATACTCTATATACACCGTTTACTGTAACTTCTTTCTGCACAGTATAAAACTAGTTATTTCAGAAGATCACTCAGATTTCTGATGCATAAATTAAATTAAGTAGTCTCATTTATTTCTGGATACTCTATAAAGAGCAGAACCACAAGAAAGTGTAATTTTTTCTTAT